CAGTGGACTACTATTCAAACTTCTGGGAAATCGACTATCTCCCGGACACTAAGTCCACCACAGTGATTAGGAAGTTGAAGGCCCACTTTGCCAGACAGGGCATCCCAGACCTTGTTGTCTCAGATAATGGACCACAGTATACGTCCGGTGAGTTTCTGAGATTTAGTCGACTGTGGGATTTTCAGCACAAAACATCTTCGCCAGGTTACCCTCAGAGTAATGGGAAGGCCGAATCAGCGGTGAAGACAGCGAAAAGGCTGCTGCTAAAGGCAAAACTGGCGGGGCAGGACCCGTATCTGGCGATTCTGGACCATCGCAACACACCATCACAAGGCCTGGAGACCAGCCCAGCTCAGAGGCTGCTCAGCAGGAGAACACGGACGCTTTTGCCAACCAGGACGAGCCTGCTAAGGCCAAAAGTCATTCCTGCCCGGCGGGAGTTGCAGATGAAACAGAAGCGCCAAAAAGAGTGCTATGATCGGTCAGCACGTGACATGGACTCTTTGACGCTTGGGGACAGTGTCAGAGTTCAGCCTTTGGACCGCCACTCCACTTGGAGCAGGGGAGTGGTTGTTGGGACTGTTGACCCGAGGTCCTATGAGGTTCGGTTGGATTCTGGGAGTGTCCTGAGGAGGAATCGGAGGCACCTGAGACATGCAGGCGTGATGGATCCAGACAATGCCATGACAGACACTGGGGCACTGAGCAGCTCAGTGACTGATCCGTCGGGAAGTCGTGAGCAGCGGATTGAGTCTGACGTGGTAACAGGGGGTATCAGGACACGGTCAGGCCGCAAAGTGGTTCCACCACTTCGGTACAAGGACTATGTGCCATAATGAGGACTTGACAGTCTTTACTGGTTGAGGGGAGGAGTTATGTGTTCTATGGACACACATGTCCACTACAGTTGCAGAAATGCATATGTTCGAATAGTGGAATGTTTTTGTGTTCTGGGAATGTTTTTGTGTTCTGTTAGTGTTTCATATTGTTTCTCCCTTAGTGAGAAGAAAAAAAAAAAAAAAAAGAGAGAAGGGATGTAATGATGTGCATTGTTGTTTGGCTTGGTTGGTTCCGCAGTGTGTTGTGTTGCTGCACGGGCGTTTTTAGAGTACGCACCGTTATAGGATGCCGGCAGAGACTGTATGTTGGTGAAGTCTTGTTGATAAACCTTACTACCCCGTTGGGTAGGAAATAGATATTCTGGAGTTTGTCGTGAATTAGACCAGAATATAACACCGTGTACTTATCTGACCTTCTTTCAATTTATACTCCCATTCGCATGCTCAGGTCCTCCAGCCTGTTGCTCCTCGAGGTCCCGAAAGCGTGTTACAAATCATGTGGACAAAGAGCTTTCTCTGTTGCGGGTCCTAAACTGTGGAACCAACTTCCAGTCACAGTTCCACTGGCACCCTCCTTGGCAGATTTTAAGTCTAGACCAAAGACACCCTTGCATTTAACAGTTAGCTGTTAGTTTGGCTTTTATTACTCTTATTTTATCATCCATTGTAAGGTTTCATTGGTTTTATTGGTGCTTTTTTTCCGGCTTGTCTTTTTTTTTATAGTTGGCTGTATTTTATAGTACTGTTTTATGTTTTTTATCTCTATTACTGTGCGACTGTTCAGCATTTTGGTCAGCCGTATGGATGTGTTTTTATGTGCTATATAAATAAAGATGGTATGGTATGGTATGGTATGGTATGGTATGGTATGGTATGGTATGGTATGGTATGGTATGGTATGGTAAAAATGGGGATTGTGTGTAAGGATGCCGGACTAATGCTTGGTACCTCTATAAATACATCGGCCTCTTGACGGCCCCGGACTCGGAGAAATCCCATTTCTGCCACTGGAGACGAAGTCACTGAAATGTCAACATTGTGATTTAGCTTATTTTTTATTTTATTTTATTTGCGCAATAGAAAAAAAAACGATTCAGTAAACAGCATCCGATGTTTATAATTGCAGTGTTGGAGGAGGCAAAAGCTAGTGAGGCTTATCTGTAGCCTCCACCAAAAACATTGACAAAAAAATTTCTTTAAATAATTGAATACAAAAAATTACGTTGATGATAAAAGAGAGCCTAGAGCCTGCTAAATAATGAACAATCAATGCCCTCCTGTATGGGAGATGTGCTCGAAGGAGGACCAAATAAAGGATCATTTTGTTTTTATGTCCTTTGAAGATCGTAAATGAGATTAACTTTCATTTAATCCATCAGTTATTTCCTTCATCTCACTGCCTGCCCTCTACTTCAATTCAAATCAGTCTATGTACAGTCTATGATTCAAATTCAAAAATACTTTATTAATCCCAGAGGGAAATTGATTAATTTGATTTGATGGTCTCACTCCCTTTAGACAAAGTGCAGCTGTAATAGAAAATGAATAACAACAGATCTGTGGTCTGCCAGTTGTGTCTGAGGAATGATTCGAGTTGCTGGTTCTAAATCAAAAAATCCATTTATCAGAGCTATTTGTTCCCTTGGTGCTCCTTGGGCTGTGTAGACCTGCTCACTCTAAACCAGGGTCCGCAGGCCAGATGTTCCGTGTTGGGTGGCTCTTCAAAGAGCCGTTGTTTTGATATCACCCACAAGCGTTGCAGAGAGGTGTCACATTGTGCGCCTGTGTTCCCCTTGTCTCCCTCCTAGTGTCTTTTCTGAAATCCCCCTGCCCTTGGTTCAAGTCTCAATAATGTCATGATGCGGTGTTGGTAGGACCCAAAATGCAGTACCCAGGATGACACGAGGCAGGAGATAATATATAAAGAAAATCCTTTTATTTGCAGGATGAGTCAAAAATAAAAATAAATCCAAAGGGCTGAAAGCCAAAAATCCTAAATGTCTAAAAATATAAACCAGAGAGCAGAAATACTAGAAACCACGAGAAGAACCAAGAAACACTAGAGCTAAGAACGAGAGACTGACAGAATAACAGCAATGGACCGACACAAGACAAAGACAAGACAGGGCTTAAATAACAGGGAGGAGTAATTAAGGGAGCAGGAAGCAGGTGTGTGGAGTGAGGGCTGGAGGGAAGGCAGGCGACAATAATTACCTAAATGGGGAAACAGAACCAAAGGAGGGCAGATAAACCTAAAACTACAAATCCAAACTAAAAGGCTGCGGGAAGGACTAACACACACACACACACACACACACACACACACACACACACACACACACACACACACACACACACACACACACACAGAGACATAAATAACTCACACACACACACATATACTGGGCTGGGGAACAAGAGGCTGGAGCTGCAACTGGAGGGACAGAGGATAACCAAATGAACACCGGACCTGAGGGAATGATAAAAAGGCCTACAAACAGAAGACACAACATTGAGACGCAGACAAAGGACACATGAGGGCGCTATGAGACACAGAAGGGAAACTAGAGAGGATGGAGAAACATCAGGAGACACATAAAGGAGGGGGCAGACGCAGACCATGACATATAACTTCCTTCACCCAGAGTCCCAGTTTTAGTTTCTAAGTCTTATATTTAGTTCTGTAACTCTTCAGGTCATTGGTTATTTAACTTGAGTTCTTCAGTGTCTTTAGTCCTACAGGTTTGGGTTGGTTTTGGTGCAGTAGTTTTTGTCTTACAGGTTTTATGATTTAGTTTCCTCCTTTACTTTGTTTTGCCTCCCCATCTAGTTAAGTCGTCTCACCTGTCTTCCATCAGCTCTCACTCCCCACACACCTGCTCCTGATCTCTCTAGATCTCTGCCCCCCGTGGATAGAACCCTGTCTTGTCTCTCAGTGTTTGTTGGTTCGCTGTGTGTGTTGGCGTGAATGTCACATCTGTTGTGGCTGTTGCCTCCTGTATTCCAGAGTTTCTAGTTCTCGAGTTTCCAGTTTGCCTCCTGAGAGTTATTTGAGTTTTGTTTTACCTCTGCATTTTCACCCCCACCCCCCAACCCCCACCCCACCCATCCACCCTTGAGCCATGTACTTAACTGCTCAGAAATAAAGACTTGGTTTTTATTTTTTCATTACACCATCTAACTGTGTCGTCTGGGTTCCTGCACTTGGGTCCAACCATCCCCTGATCGTGACATGAGGATTTGACCTTGGGGTCAAAAGAGAGGATGGTTCCTTATGCTTGCTCAACGGCTGGCCAAACCAGGAGGCAGCTGGAGAACTGAGGAATCAGGACATGATCCTTGTACTTGTAGATGTTGTTCACAAATTTAGACAGATCAGAATTTGACAAGTTTTAAAGCCGTTAACCAAGACCTCAGAGACCACGCTTTCACTCAGATACTAAGAGGTTTTCTCTTAGTGTGAAGTGAAAATGTTATTACATTTTTTTTAGCAAAAACTGTTAAACATTAATATTTGTGTTATTATTGTGTTCACACAGTAATATATTAAATTACCAGAATCAACAATTGCTGATCTGGTGAATCATTACAGGAAAAATATTCATTTAAACATTATTGATTAAGGGGTTAGTCATACACTTTGGACACACTCGATTCTATCAACCTATAAAGTGGTAAAGTCCTTCATGATTCCAGGAAGATTAACTTTTATTCAGAGAGTGAAAATCTCATCTTCTGCATGATGAGATCTTGGTTTCCAGCAAAGATAAAGGAATTCAGGGGAAGGGTTTATAATGGCTTCCCTTCTTGGCAACAAGGTCATAGAGCTGTGTGTTTACCGGTTTGGAGACCAGTGCAAGGGGAACAACCTGGACACTTCCATGAGATGACCTCTGACCTCACAGTGGACAAATAACCAAATTGTTGTCCTTTGGTACGCTACAACAGGTTTCCCATATTCGGTTTGGTCTCGCCTTGTCTCCTTCCCAAAACCAGCCAGGCTGGTTTCGTAGTCTGCTCAAAGCCGGAAATCAGCCAGACTGGCAGCTTGTGACTGCTGAAGGCTAGGGTCACAAGCAAACGCTCCTCGGACCCTTAAGGGCAACTGAAACTCAGAGTTGGAACGGAATCGTAGTTTTTGAATTTTTGTTGTGGGGTGGGGCATCAGAGAGGGTGTTAACCCAGTCAAACAGGCCAGGACCGCCCGTGCTAGACAGGATTTGGAGTTGGTGCTATGGTCTGCAGCTAAAGAAGAATGGCGTTGGAGTGTTTTGCCTAATTTCTTCTGGTTTCAGGTTTGAAATGTGTGATTTTTGCTCTTAATCTTTGTTAAAATGTGCGTCATGTTTTTACTGACAGCATGTTAAAGCATTTAGTGGAAGATTTACTTGAAGTGAAGTGTTAGTAGCTATTTTAACCGTTTCCTTCCACAGAGTGGCTGCAGTGTGACGTGCACAGGGTGGTTTTGGTTCTGTAAGACATGAACACAACCGTTAATGTGTGTATGTTTATCTGAAAATGAACATGTGCATGCGTTACTCATTAATGGGAAACTTAAGTTTAACCACTATTACTCTTCACATGAGTGTGACCTAGTTTTAAAGCAAGTTTTCAATTCTTCCCAAACTCATTTGGTTTTCTGCCTGTTCCAGAACGCGTGAGAGGTGATGCGTTTACCTGTTGTTAATTTTTGGTGCTTTGTTTCATGCAAACTGACATTTGAAATTAACCTGTTTACAATGTTGAATCTTTTTGCACAGATATTTAGTAAAATCTGTAAATAATTTGAAGCAAATCTAATAGAGTCTTGCTAGTGCTGCAGCAAACGCAGAATGGCGCCTGAGTGTCTTTGTGATATCTCCTGACTCCAGCTGCAGCTCCAGCCCGGTACCAGGGTGTGACACAGCCGGAGCTGAGCAGGTTAACCACCTGATCTCAGCAGACAGACCACCATGTTTGTGTCAATCGTTCTGCTGTGGATCTCCATTTGCTTCATCCTCCTTCTACTTAAATCTCGGAGACCCAAGAATTTCCCACCCGGACCCCCAGCCTGGCCCGTCCTGGGGAATCTTGTGCATCTTACCTCAGAGGATCCTTTGATGAACTTGGAGAAAGTACGTTGGAAACTTCAATAAATGCTGTCATATCATACAAATATGTGCAATAAACATTAGCATGAACATTTTAGCAGCATATCTTGGTTAGGAGGGTTAGCTCCTTGTGACGAATGATTGCATTTTGGAGGAGGCCCTTTAATTAAATCCAAAACAACAGCGCAGCAGCGTAATTTCACAAAGTCAAGTGCAAGACAGCACAACAAAACAGCCCAAAACATACATTCACCCATACACACCATACAAATTGTCATTTTTAAAAAGCTACTGAAAACGTACTTTCACTACTCCTATTGACTTGGTAGTTCTGCTTATTATCATTTTTTATGTCTGATTTTTTATGCATTGTTTTTTGTGTTTTGTTGTTTTTCATTGACTGCTTATATTTTTCATGTTTTTATATGTCTATGTTCAGCACTTTGGGCAACATCGTTGCATCTGAATGTGCTGTATGAATAAATATGATCTGATGTGATTTTATTTGGTATGCCCGGTGCTCATCAGGAGTGGTGTGTGGAGCTGTTGGGTCCATTCCCCACTCCCACGCTGGATGCTGTGCTCTTGATGAGTGAGTCCGAGGTTCTTGACAGTTCTTAAACCCCTCGTCTCTGTTGATGATCACCATTCCTTGTCCCCTGATTTTGAAAGCTTCTCTTATCCATCTTTTGAAGCTGCTGCTCTCCCTTCCCACGATGCGTCGTTGTCCCAGTCCATTTTGTTGTTACTCCGTTTGTAGTGATCGATTATGGCTGATGTAAGTGTTTCTTGTCTCGCTCTGTCTTTCTTGGGTCTGGTTTGTCTGGTCTGTGTTTCCTTTTCATTTTCTACCTGGTGTTTGTTTCTGCTCGTGTTAACTCACCTTCCTGTTTAGCTGATTTTTGTTGTTTACGTTACACGGATGACCCAAGTTGGTTTCTTCTTTTAGGTGAAAAAAAACCTGTTTTAATTTGTTAAATGCTTTTATGTCGGTGCAATGTGGTGCTTGTGTGGGGTTCTTCTGATACGTTTAAGTCAATCCTCAAACGCATCTTGAGTCAGTCATTCATGCTTTTATTACTTCACGTCTGGATTACGCAAATTCTGTCCTGATTGGGATTAATGCTTCAGCCCTAAACAAACTGCAGAAGGTTCAAAATGCCGCGGCCAGATTTTTAACCATAAATGGTATATATGTAGTATATATATATATATATATATATATATATATATATATATATACATATATATGTATGTATATATATATATATATATATGTATATATATTATATATACATATGTATATGTATTTGTATATATATATATATGTATATATACATATATATATATATGTATATATACATATATATATGTATATATATATGTATGTATATATATATACATATATATATGTGTATATATATATATACATATATATATATATATATATATATATATATATATGTATATGTACTATATATATACATATATATAATATATATAATATATATATATATATATATATATATATATATATATAGTATATATGTATATACATATATATGTATATATACACATATATATGTATATATATTATATATATACATATATATATATATACTATATATTATATATATATACATATATATATATATATATTCTGACTATTTCTTTACTCATAAATGTTGTAATTATTTATTGTGTTTGTGTTTTACAGTTATGTCTTGAATAAATGAAACTATAATAGAATTATAAAAATTATAATTTCATAATTTATAATTTTCTAGAGGTAGCCATGGCGGCCCCTTGGGGGCGCCACTGCTGCACACATGGGTTTTCAAGTTGACGTGCTTAGCAGACCAAAATGGAAAGATCTTCTTCAAGGTTGTGATTTTATTTAGATCAGGGTGAGGGCGCTGAGGCTGCAGCTGTGGTGTTCTGGAGGCATGCTGGATAAAACCTTCAGAAATCACAGCTGGATTATTAGTAATTTAAAATGTTATCACAGCACCTTCATGTCTACCAAGTATGTTATTCATTTTTCTTCAGAGATATTTTGGATTATTGAGATCATTTGACAGACTGCTTCTAGGAATAAGCTTCAGTGTTAATAGTTTGAGTGGTACAAATGTTCCTAAACTGTTTACGTGTTTTCCTCCCGGTGACTGGGACACTCTGTATGATTGTGTAAGCTCTGAGCCCTATCTTTGTTTAAAAAGGCTGATAAGATCACTGTCAACCCAGGGTAGATGATTGTCTTTTACCTTGATGATCCTCATAGAGCATGTTTATCTAAGACTTGCTTAATTCTGTATAAAAGGCATGAAGCATCAAAGTCAGGAATTAGGCTAAGCCTGTTCCAGTTAACCGTTTGCAATTCACTCACAAGAAGATCCTTGATGAGTTTTTTTTTGTTTCATGTACCTTAATTTATTTAGGAGGATGATGAAAAGTAGAGATTTTCCAGACACAGTATACGATGAGGTCATCACAGTCTGAGCATTCACCAGATTAAATTATTCTACTGGGGCGTGTGACTGGTATCCAGTGGAGAAGAAGTTGGACTAATCCTTGTAGGTTCTGTAAAAATCTGAGTCTGATTTGAACCATTAAACACGTTCCACTCGCTGCAGGCAGCCGGATCGAACCACTGAGAAATCACGTGATGGGTGCATTTGTTGCTTCATGCCAGCTTACATGTTTTTATTTCCCTCCAGCTGAGACAGTCTTACGGAAACGTCTACAGTCTGTTCCTCGGTTCCAAGCCAGCTGTAGTCATCAACGGGGTCGAGGCGATGAAGGAGGCGATGGTGACCAAGGCTGCTGACTTTGCTGGAAGGCCTCAAGACTTGTTTGTCAGTGAGCTCACTCAGAGGAAAGGTAGGGTGTCTGAGACAAACTTAAGTACGGTACAAGAAACGTTTGTCACTCCTCCTCTCTGGTGTTTTTCACGTCAGAGTCATTGTGCGAGAGTCAGCTTGAACCCAGCTGTACCTTAATGTCTTGTTGCTGTTTGTTTCTGGACTGTTTGTCCTGCTTTAGGTACGATCATGGCTGATTACGGCTCAACCTGGAGGGAGCATCGCCGCTTTAATCTGATGACTTTGAGGAACTTTGGTCTTGGAAAGAATTCTATGGAGGATCGAATTCATGAAGAGCTGCAGCACACCGTTAAAATCCTGGACCAGAGCGCTGGTGTGTAGTCCGTTGGTCTACACAACGTGTTAATTCTCACTCATCCGTGCTGTGATGGAGTGCGTGTTATTCTGTGTGCAGGTGAAACTCTGAGTCCTCAGGTTATGTTTCATAACGTCGCCTCCAACGTCATCTGTAAGATTCTGTTTGGTACGCGTCATGAGTACGATGATGAAAGCATCAAAGTGATGATTCAGTGCTTCACTGAGTTGAATAAAGTAGCAAATGGACCTTGGGCCATGGTGAGTTACAGTGTGGTTACCTGATCTCAAACAACAAATGTCAGAATCAAACCTTTGGATTTAGATTTAAAAGGTAAAAATACACGTGAGAGAAGTCCAGGGATCAAATCTCAGACAAGCCCCGGGAGCAAAGACGTGGCTCGAGTGGCTAAAGCAAAAGGTTGAGTCACTCTGCAAAGTTAATAAAATACTGTATTAAAGGTTGAATATGTTACACGAACACCAAAGCGAACTTCTAGAGTGTGGAGGGTGTAGTTGCAACACAAGGATTCCGGGTTCGCTGCTGATGTGTGAAATGTTTTATTTGGGTCCATCCGTTGTAGCTTCACCTAAACTCACTCTGGTTTTAGATCTTTTATAGCCGCTCCTCTCCTGGGAAGGATAACAACATCTTCTGGGCTCAGAAGCTTGACTTGCCGAGTCTGTCATCTTTCACAGTGCCAGCCTCGCTGTGCCCAGCGGACTGTTTGGTATAGAGCCATGCACGGGCCTAAAATCTGAGCCCGTGTCTGGCCCGGCCCGAGGGGGTGGAGCCCCAGCCCGACCCGGTCCGAGAAGGTTTTCACGATTCTCTGGCCCGACCCGAGCCCGACCTTTGTTTTTAACCTTTCATAATGTTTTAGAGTGATAGAATGCTCAGCATTCTAATTATCTGTGAGAAGCGTTCTGCAGTAAAAAAAAAAAAAGAAAAGAAAAAGAAAAGAAAGAAAAACAGCATTAATTCAGCTTTTTTTCTAACAGAGCGTATTTTTCGAGCGGCAGATGAAATTTCCGAACACTATATTATTTGGATGCGTTTGTAAATTTTATCTGCTCTGAAAATGCGCTCTTGTGCAATTAGAAAAAAAAAGCAGCATTCTAATTTTCTAACTGCAGACCGCATTTTCAGAGCGGCAGATTAAACAAACGCCCCAATTAATAAAGCGTTTGTAAATTTAATCTGCCGCTCTGAAAATGCGATCTCAAGTTAGAAAAAAACCAGCAATGAATGCTGTATTTTTAACTGCAGAGCGAATGTATTCACAGAAAAATAGAATGCTGGCGTTTTCATGAGAATAAACGAATGGTTTCTGACATCAAAGTGGACATAAAATGGCGTATGAGAATAGGGGCACATGTTTCAATCAGCAGTTTGAGAATTCGTTTATATAGGCGCATTTATAAACCACACACACCTTAACTAAGCTAACGGTGCGTGAGAAGCAGGCAGGTGCTGCTGCGTTCAAGTGTTTCAGTTTTTTTTATGAATTCGATTAAAAATAAAGGCGCCCGGCCCGTGTCCGAGGTAACTACACAGTCGTTGGCCCGAAGCCCGGCCCGTGGGCCGTCGGGCCGGGCCGACCTGAGGGCCTAGGGGCTTCAGTGCAGGGCTCTAGTTTGGTACCCTGCAATGGTGCCCTCTACTGGCTGGTAGATGTTACCATGAACCTAGTGTTGTGCCCATCGACATACATACTGGACAATTCGATTCCATAGGCTCCGATAACACGTTTTTTGTCTATAATGGGAGGTGGCCACCACCGCCATTTTGACCGTGTCACAGGTTCCGTCCAGCTCAGACAATTCCATAAAAGGGAAGAGAGGAGGAGCTGAGGGTGGGGCTGTAAGGCTAGGATCGACTGACGACACCCGGTCGAACTAGCTACAAGCTAACCTGAAGCTAACCCTGGCTAACCCAAAGCTAACGCGGAGGTGGGAGCCGAGCTAACGGATGTAGCCACCTAGCTACAACCCAACCGGAGCTAAATGATAGTTAGCTAGCTACTTCGATAAACTCAGCCAGTTTAAAGGCGGCAGTGACATAAAATACAAATAGATTTTAACTTACCGAAAAATATGAAGTGGAGACTCCTTGGACGCTCTATTAGTGCAATTAATACCACAGCAAGTCATTTTGTCCAATAATTGCACAAAAATATCCAAAACAGAATTCACAAGCACAGAGAGTCAAAATCCCGAAACAGTTTCCAGGAGAGACCGAGGCTGTACTGAGTCCTTTCCACAGAGCTAGCTCTGTGGTCACGTGTGTCTGATGCTCATTAATTATACAGAATTTTAGGCTTTTAATACACTTAAACAGAAGAGTGAGAAAGAAATTCACCCCCCTCAGAGTTGTCATGAGTATAAACTAGATCATTTAAACAAAAAACATGTTTTGGTACCAGGCTGTAAACATGTTTATTTCTGCTGTGAAATTGGCATTTTTAACATGGGAGTCAATGAGGATTTGCTCGCTTCTGACACCAGCCCCTAGTGGATGAGGGTGGAACTGCAATTTTTCTTACTTCCGGGTTGGGACCATTTTTAGAGCCGCATTGTGGGGGCTTGGTTGTGCCCGTCAAAATAAATCTTTTTTATGTTTTAATTCAAATATATCTTTTAAAGAAAATACTGTACCTTCTTCCTGCACACCTCTAAACGCCCCGCGGAGGTATTGTTTTCTTTAAATATAGATATTTTTATTAAAATGTTTTATATTCAACCTTTAATTCTAAATGATGTCGTCAAAACAAAGGTTAACGTTTTGAGGTGTGAAGTTTTGGATCACAAGTTGTTGTGTGTTAGTGTGTGTGTGTGGAGGAAGTGCAAACAGAAGCAAAACAGACTCAACACAAAGAGGCTTGAATTAAGCAAGCATGAAACCACCCAGGTCCTCAGGGGTTCCCTATGACCCCAGCAGGTGTCTGTAGACCAGGGGTGGGGAGTCCTGGTGCCCCGAGGACCGCTATCCGGCATGTTTTAGTTGTCTCCCTGCTCCAACACACTGGTGATCAACAGGCTACTGCAGAGCTTGGTGAGCTGCTGAACAGCTAATTCAGTCGCTGAATCGGGAGTGTTGGAGCAGAGAAACAACTAAAACATGCTGGATAGTGGGGACCGGGATTCCCCACCCGAGCTTTAGAAATGCACTCTTCAGCCACAAGGAGACCTACGGGGCCATAACAAGCACTTTTTAGCTTTTTCCCTCAGACACCAAAACTAAAACAACGCTAACCTTTGAAAGACGTTTAATATGTTCTAGTTTAGTGCACAAGAACGAAGCTTCAGTTTCAGTACAAATCAGAGTAAGCTCAACACTTGTTTCTTTCAGATTTCAGGATAAGTTTATTCTAACCAACCAAATCTGTTTCCCACAGCTCTACGACTCTGTTCCTTTAGTTCGGTTCCTGCCACTGCCGTTCAGAAGGGCCTTCAAGCTGATGGAGGTACGTCAAAAACGACTAAACACAAACAATAAGTAAGAATTTTACTGTGAAATAATCACAAAACAGTCTAACGTCTCAGTCATGTTGGAAGGAAGGTTAAGCTGAAACAGTTCTCGTTCTCAGTCGACTGGGGGGGTGTTGAGTCAGCAACAAGCTAACGCTGCAGCATCTGCATTTATCCCCCCCAAATTTCTTTATAAATCTGCAGCTTCTAGCGGTGGCGCCTTCGTACCTTTCTGAGCAGACTCACCTGTATGATTTCTTCTTCACTTCACTTCTTGGTCATTTTTGCGATCGAGCATTTGGTGTCGTTGGTCCAAAACTTTAGAACGCCCTACCTTATTCAGCGAGTTTGGCCCCTGCCGTCACGACGTTAGGCTCAAAGACACTTTTATAAACCTGCTTTTACACAACCTGCACATTAACCTTTTGTTTCATTTTATCTAAATGTGTGATCTTCTGTGAACTGTCCATAGCAGATGGTGATGAAGTGCTCCCTACTGTAAAATACTTAGGAGTGCCAGCAACAAATATAACAGTCGACTCACTGTGCCTGACTCGTCTTCACTTGTCACCTAGAGTCTTCAGAAACGGATCCATAACTGACTCAAGTTTGAGCACAGGATTTCATTCTTACATATTGCAGCTTTAAAAAAAGGTTAAAGAAAGAAAAACTGACACTGAAATTACTAAAATAATTACAATATTAACCCTTTGATGCACGAATTATGAAATCTTCAACCATGATTTTTTAACAATTTTTTTGATTCATCTTTAGGTGTGAATGAAACAAATTTCAACAAATATTTTTTGTAAAATTTTATAATTTACATATAATTTATTACATGTCCACCTCAGTGGACAGCGTGCGTTCTGAGCATGAAATATGTTGGCTTGGCTTACCGAAGTCGAAATGGAGGGGCTCAAATGCAACAAAGTCTTCAACAGCTGTGCTTAATAGCAAAAATAAATACATAACAATTTTGAGTACCTGTCCACTGTAGTGACCATTATGCATCAAAGGGTTAATTCATAAAAATTGAGTGTTGCCTTTAAATTATGATGATTTTTAAAGCAAAAAATGAAACTGGCCTGGACAAAAACCAAAATGCGTCACAGATGTCTTCAGTCCACTAAGCAGCTGTTCAAAGGCTGAAACATAGTCAGTGTTGTTTTGCAGCCGGGTGTGTAACACACTGAACATGGACCACACAAATCTGAGGACACAGTTGCCTCGGGAGGTTAGAAAGACTATTATTGATCAGAAGGTTTGGTGTAAAGGCTATAAGACCTTTCCCAAGCAGCTAAAGGCCAAAATCCCATCTTCATGTAGTTAAAGGCTCGAAGAACATCTCCAAAAAGCTAAGCCACGGGTCCTCCAACAGGACTATGAGACAAGTTGCTAAAAACACCAAGACTGGATCTGAACCAAACATTGGACTGTTCTGTTCTCAGGAGTAACTATTAGAAAAAGATTAACTACTATTTTATTAAATCTTTTAAATGAATCATTAAAACAATGTATCCACATCAATGAACCAGTGAAATCATCACAGCCCTTCCTTGTTTTAATGAAGGAATCTGCTTGTTTTAGACTTTTCTGAGTTTTGCAGTCAGTCGGGTGAACGAGCACAAGGAGAGCAGAATCCCCGGAGAACCACGAGATTTCATCGACTGTTACCTGGATGAGCTGGACAAGGTAGAAAACACAGAAACGTCCGAATAAAGTGATGCAGATGGATTTTAGCAAATGTGGGGACTTGAGCCACGTGATTTGGGTTCAAGTCGGACTCGAGTCACTAATTTTATGACTTTAGACTTGAATAAATATTCAAACACTCGGACTTGACTTGGATTTTTACACCAGTGACTTGGGACTTGATTTAGACTTGAACATGTTTGCTTGAAAAGACTTGATAGTTTACCCAGTGTATACTTTTAAACGTCTATTTTTTTCCCACTTTTATGTTTATGTTTATGTGTTTAGCAGACGCTTTTGTCCAAAGCGACTTACAAGTGATAATCGGCATGTCACCCTTGAGGCTAACAACAACAATAACAACAACTTGACATCAGTCATGGAGAGGAGGGAACAAGGAGTGGACAGTAGAGAGGGGGGACGGGTGCAGGGAGGGTGCTAGTTTAGAAGATGCTCTCTGAAGAGCAGGGTCTTCAGGAGTTTCTTGAAAGTCGAAAAGGATGCCCCTGTTCTGGTAGTGCTTGGAAGGTCATTCCACATTTGTGGAACGATGCATGAGAAGAGTCTGGATGGTCCTGAGCGTGGTGTAGGCACTGCTAGCCGACGATCCTGTGATGACCGGAGCGGCCGGGCCGAGACGTAAGCCTTTGCAAGAGGATTCAGGTAGATGGGAGCCGTACAGTCTCGGACTTTGTATGCTAGTGTTAGCAATTAGAATTTGATGCGTGCTGCTAGCGGTAGCCAGTGGAGCTCAATGAACAGAGGGGTGACATGTGCTCTTTTTGGCTGATTGAAGACCAGACGCGCCACTGCGTTCTGGACCATTTGAAGAGGTCTCATGCTTTTAAGTCATTTTGCTCATCCCAGATTAAGAAACTGACGCTTCTCCATGGGCGAGTGGGAGCTGCAGAACAGCCAATCAAATTAACCGGATTTAAAAAGAGAAAAAGAGGCTAGTCCAACTAGGGATGGGTACCTTTGACAATTGAATCGATCCGGTACTAATTCCCGGTACCTACGAATCGATACCGGTACTTAACGGTACCAATTTTCGATACTTTTGAGTGTTTAATATTTTAATTCTTTTATAATTAAATATATTTTTCTCAATATATAACCATATTTGATAAATATCACGATAAATAACATTCAACTGTTTGTATTTTAACATCGTCCTTGTAGTTTTATAAGCTGATAATTAAACTGAAGCAAACATCTTTACTGTGAACTAAATTTACTGTGTATCTTCATTCCTTTTGCCGTCCTTTTTCATTTGATTTTTCCTACTGGGAAGTTAGAATTTCCGAGGAGAAAGCGAACGCACCATTAGCTGATAACAATGGTGGCAATGGAAGCTAACATACCAAGCTAACGTTGTCTTAAACAGTTTATTTAACTGCTGGAGCAGATTAAAACGATGATGCCTCACACTTAGATCGTTGTCGCTGGTTTCATCTTCACCCAATCACCCGTCGCATTTAGTGAAGTGAAGCCAAACTTTAGAGCGCGTTCATGTTCTTCTAGTCGGGAATTCGGAGTTCCGAGGAGAAAGCGAACGCACCATTAGCGAAACGGAAGCTAACATATCAAGCTAACGTTATCTTAAACATTTTATTTACCTACCGGAGCAGATTAAGATGAGGATGTCTCACTTAGATCGTTGTCGCTGGTTTCATCATCACCCAGTTACCCATCACATTTAGTGAAGTGGACCCAAGCTTTAGCGTGCGTTCTTTCTACCGTGCTGCTCTGTTTACAACTGGCTCGCAGCGACCAACGACATGACGCTCTTGCGCATGCACAGCTGTCTTGGCAAGTTCTTGTTATGAAGGACGGGTACCGAAACGAGGCACCGTTTCAAATGACGTGAATCGATGCTCGGTCGGTACTATGGAATTCGGTCGGTACCTTAAAAAGTACCGAATTCGGTACCCATCCCTAAGTCCAACCCTCTCTCTCTGCAAACAGTGCTGCAGCTTACAGTGTTCAGATTTTTGTTTGGGTTACACACGACAGATGAGTTGACAACAACACACGGGAGTAAAGAGTGCAAGAAGAGAATTACAGCTGGAGATGGAACAACTTTGTTCGATGTTTGAAGATGAACTAACTTCATCTGTTCTCCAGGCTACGTTCATGTTTGGCTTTAATACAGTATGTTGTTTTATTCATGCCCTCTTAGATCCTGTTTTCCAAGCCATTCCAAGAATAACTGGCAGCTAATTTGCTCAGGATCGCCAGTTTGTTTTAGAAAGCAGGTTCTTCATTATTGTTTCCAGCAGACAGAACTTCTGTGGGGGGGCAACAGTCGGGTAAAACGTGTTTTTATAGGATGTCTGAATGAATACAGCGCTGTTTACCTGTTGAGAATGAGAACCATTAAAGTTTATACGTGACATTGTTGAAATTGGCCGTGGTTGCACCACCAGAAGGAGGAAATGCTGAAAGATTGTCAAGTTTTACTAAATGATTTGAAATCTGAAGTTTCAGACGGGACTAAAGTTTAAACTTGCCTTCTTTGACTTGAGACTTGACTCTGGACCTGAGGATGAAGACCCGAGGCTTACTTGAGACTTGCAAAACAATAACTTGGTCCCATCTCTGGATTTCAGTTGTGTCAAAATCAGTTAGTTTACTAATACTTAACATGATTTGAACAAGTTCACTAAACTTTATTAATGCTCGCTCATCGTCTTTTGTTCAGAAGAACGACGAGTCATCGTTTTCAGAGGAACAACTCGTCAGACAGCTGTTTGATCTTTACCTTGCTGGAACCGACACCACCGCCAACACGCTCCTCACAGCGTTCCTCTACCTGATGAATCACCCTCAAATACAAGGTACCGTCCCTCGTGGAGAAATAATTCAATACTTTTCTTCTACAGCTTGTTGAAAAGCCTAAAGTTGTTATCACAGGTCCTTTAGGATTGGTTGATTTTCTCATTCAGACAAACGAAGCTTTAACTTTCCCTCCACACTGATTCCTGTCTTGATGTTTTGGTCTCAGAGCGATGCCAGCAGGAGATCGATCAGGTGTTAGGAGGAAAGGATCGGGTCACCTTTGAGGACAGACACAACATGCCTTACATGCAGGTCAATCAGGTTGTCTTGATCGCATCTGCTTTTAGAGGATCACCTGTTTCTGGGCTGAGGTCTTTCGTATTGTGTTTATTCCTCCAGGCTGTGATCCATGAAGTCCAGAGAGTCGCCAACACGGTTCCACTCAGTGCCTTCCACTGCACAACTAGAGACACAGAACTGTTGGGATACTCCATTCCCAAGGTGGGAGGAACCCTGTTTTTACTGAAGAGAAGCTAAAATGTGGAACATCTATCATGACTTTTGCTTTTTATGTGTCTCTCTTCAGGGAACGATGATCATCCAGAACATGATCTCTGTGCTGAAGGAGGAGGGTCAGTGGAAGTTCCCTCATGACTTCAACCCTGAGAACTTCCTGGACGAGCAGGGGGAGTTTGTCAAACCAGAGGCCTTCATGCCTTTCTCTGCAGGTAAACCTGTTCTAGACTTCTGTCAGAAAATGGAGTAAAGTTTGTTCCATCAAAGATCACGTTGAGGTCCTTTGGTGTTCCTCAGGATCTCGGGTGTGTCTTGGAGAAGGTCTGGCTCGTATGGAGCTCTTCCTCATCACCGTGACTCTTCTGAGGAAATACAAGTTCATCTGGCCGGAGGACGCTGGTGAACCAGACTACACGATGGTCCTTGGAGGAACTTCAACTCCAAAACTTTATTCCATGAAGATCCAACTGAGGTCCACTCAGTAAAGTCCTGCTTGTTTTTTTTTTTTGTTTTTCTGCAGGAAACTTCATTTTTTTCTTTGCCTCCTGTTTCTGTCCCATTACTTTCCAGTTTGCTTTGTAATAGACAGAAAATTTAAATTTCATCAGTTTTGGGATTTCTAGTCTATCAAGTTTAAAACAGGGTGTAAATAAAACAATTACTTAGGTTTTACAGTGATTTTATTCCATTTTTGCTGTTCTTTTAAAGCCTCCGATTGTAACGGTCTGGGGATTACGTCTAACCCAAGACATGCAGAATCACAACAACTCACAGATCGAAGGTAGAAAAATAATATTTATTTTATAACGGGAACTGAAGGTGCGCTGGTAAGTCCAGTGGGGATCGAGAAACGGGAGCGCAGCGTCTGAGGAGGGGAGAGCAGATACAGGTGAGTCCAGGGAGGTAAGTCTTAACTTGGTGGGTGCAGAGAAAAGACTTACTGGGAGATGGGGAAGTACCAGGATGAGGGAGGGCAGGTTGAGAACCGGAGTGTATCCAAGAGAGGGGTCCAGGAGAGGGAGCGTGAGGAGGGCAGGTGACCGGGTTGGTAAGGAGGAATGGAGAACGGTGGAGAGCTGCGTCCAGAAATCATATGAAGCACGGGTGAGTAATCCTGAGGAGTCGCAGAATCAGACGTTCCAAAAACCTGGATTTGGGTAATCACAAAATCCAAAGTTCACAATAATCCAACAGACACGAGAGCACAAAAACCAAGAATCATAGGAGGCTAGAAACTACCAAGCTGTAGTAATCATCCGGCGTCGAGGTGTGTTCTTCCTCCTTATGTAGCCGGACCTGCTGATTGCCAACGAGATGCAGCTGGAAACCTCTCTCTCCTGCAACACACAGCTCAGAGGTGGAAAATGAGCGGAGTACTCACCCCGGCTCACGACAGATCTCACAGAATAAAATAATGGTGCTATTGAACACCTTTACTCAACAATGTAAATTATTCTTATGTCCATTATCAAATGCTAATCTATCATGAGTTGTTTAAGACGTCTCTTTGCATAGTCTCAGATTTTTGATTTTCTTTTGACTTTTGATGTAAACAGTCGATTATCATTGTAATAAAAGTTTTATAGATCTCTGGTGAAGTTGATGTTTTCCCTCATAATGTAGATGAATAAAGAAGTTCTGTAGTTCTTAGCTACTTCAGCACCATGGACAGCAGATATATTCGACGACTCTTGTCGCATCACGATGATCACAACGGAGAAACCGTTCTTGCCATGTGACCAGACCAGTCAGTGTTCAGCAGAAACTAAGCTAGGTCCACTAAGTGCTTGGAGACAACCATCAGTATTTTGGGGACTTTTGAGAATCATCAGACTTAAGGGACTTTTTCAGCTTTGACACAAAAGAGCACCAACATATTCTAACCCTTCATTTTAATAAATCATCATAACTTTCTGAACACATCATGATCGTTGGTGTTATTCTGGACCAGGATCTATTCTTTAACTCTCAGAAATAAGTTACTAGGAATGTCTTCTTATGTCTGAACATGTTTTCAAAAATTAGAAGCATCCTTACTGTAACGTTTTGTAAGTGTTTACTTTTAATAGATTGTCGATAAAATATAAAGGTATTCAATAAAATGTAATAGCCCATAAAAATGTGGATTATCAATATTATTGAACCTGTATTATTTGATTGATTATATGAATAGGGACTTTGGGTATGCCGGGGAAACAACACTTTATACAATTTGACACAGAGACAAAAATAAAGATTATAAAAATCTATTTAATACAATATTTCTACTACTATGATGATGCAGGACAAATGATTATAAATGGCGATTTAAGGTAATATCAATGAATAAACAATGATGAAATATGATCTTGGATGTTTTATGTAATTAAGTGACAGAAAGATGCGATGTCTGGGTTCATAAAATGAATCTGGTTGACTTTTATTTAGATTTAATTGGTTATCAAATGAATCTTAACCCATCCAACACCATTGCGAAGAGCCTATGTTACCAGTGTAGTGGAGGTTCTCGGGGATCCGGTCGGCAAGCGAAGCCATCTCGGCAGAGCGAGTGAGAGTCGTAGGCCCTCTCAGAATACACTCGATTGGTCAAAGAGAAACTTCCCTGCGTAGCTTCTGGCGAACCGTTTCCTGTCTGTTGAGTTGTTTTGTCAAATGATAAAACTTAATCCATGGTGTGAGAGTGTTCATCGGTGGGTCCTTTAACTGACCAAAAGAGTTTAGAGTGTCCTTCACCTAACCCTAACCCTAAACCTTCACCAGGGCTTTGAGGGACAACAAACGTGGTTGTGGAAGAAAATGGAAAATAATTCCACTGTCATTTTTGGGAAGAATCTCCACCAGGAAGTCCATGAATTCATTTTAAAAAGCTTGTATCAGGAAGTTCTCCAGCTGATGAAGAATGCTATTTCCAGAGTTCTGCTGAGAGGAGGAATCAATTTTTCTCCAGTTTTAGCATCACGTTGCTGTGTCCCTGTAAGATCCAGAACTGACTTTAAAATTGTACTGATGTCTTGGAAAGCATCGAAAGAGCAAGTTCCTTAGATATCTTCTTGTTCCAGATGTTCCTAACAGAGCATTTGGCTCCTTAGTTTCCGAGAGTTGAATGCATGGACATAGTTTGGGGGGGGGGGGGGGCTTTTTTCTAAGTAAATTTTGTCCACAGCGCTTTTTACCATCCAAAAACAATATTGTGCTATATTAAAGACACTGTTTGAGCACTGGGACCAAGTGGAAAACAGCCGCTTGTGTTGAAGCCTGTTTCCCATCAGAACCGTCCATGAGCTCATCTATTGGCTCTGATACTTGCTAACGTGTGATTGGCCATTCCTGCCACCTGTGTGCTTGACAGTTCTGCATTCCTACAGTCTCTAGCCTCTAGGCTGTAGTTTTATATTTTTGTACACTTAGTGTAAAGATACCTCCCCCCCTCCCCCCAGTCCTTATGCAGGTTGCCCCCCCCCCCCCCCCCCCCACACACACACACACACACACACTTCTAAAGTCAAAACTGCGTCCGTGGTTGAAGGGAAGGCAGAGATTTCCGTTTTCCCCGCTGCCACAACTTTATCCCTGCGCAACATTTATTTGATGTTCTCACTCAGCCAGATCAGCCCAGTTTAATCTGATCTCAGCAGACAGACAACCATGTTTTTGTCAATAGTTCTGCTGTGGATCTCCATTTGCTTCATCCTCCTTCTACTTAAATCTCAGAGACCCAAGAATTTCCCACCTGGACCCCCAGCCTGGCCCGTCTTGGGGAACCTTTTTCATCTTACTTCAGAGGATCCTGTGAAGAACTTGGAGAAGGTAAATAGGAAACTGAAACAATGCTGTAAATTTTTGTCATAAATTTTGCCATTTTAATTCAAATTCAAAAATACTTTATTAATCCCAGAGGGAAATTGATTGCTGTAGTAGCTCAGAATAACAATAATAATAATCAAGTCATCAAAGAGTTGTTGTATATTACAATGGCTGTTGGCAGGAAGGATCTCCAGTAGCGGTCAGTGTTGCAGCCAAACTGAAGAAGCCTCTGACTGAAGACTCTCTTCCGTTGTCGGACAGTCTTGTGAAGAGAACGCTCAGGGTTGTCCATCATTTTCTTGATTCTCTGGAGAATCCTTCTTTGCATGATCTCCTCCAGCGGTTCCACAGTCGTCCCCAGAACAGAACCAGCCTTTGTTATTAGGCTGTTGAGCCTTTTCAGGTCCCTGCTTCTGATGCTGCTACCCCAACAGACGATGGCTGAAGAGATTACACTCTCAACAACAGACTTGTAGAAGATCTGCAGCATCTTGCTACAGACACTGAAGGACCTAAGCGTCCTCAAGAAGTGCAGCCTGCTGCGTCCCTTCTTGTAAACGGCTTCGCTGTTCTTTCTCCAGTCCAGTCTGTTGTCCAGGTGAACTCCAAGGTGTTTGTGTTCCTCAACCACCTCCACTTCTTCTCCCATGATGGAAACAGTGTTTGACTCCACCCTGTTTCTTCTGAAGTCTAAAATCATCTCCTTTGTTTTGTTCACGTTCAAGGTCAGATGATTGTTTCCACACCATGCCACAAAGCGCTCCACCAGCTCTCTGTACTCAGCTTCCTGTCCATCTCTGACACACCCCACAACTGCAGAGTCATCTGAGTATTTCTGTAGATGACAGGTCTCTGATTTGTACTGGAAGTCTGAGGTGTACAGGGTGAAAAGGAATGGTGAGAGTACAGTCCCCTGTGGTGCTCCAATATTACTGATCGCCTGGTTTGATGTGCAGTTCTTCAGCCTACCAAACTGTGGTCTGTTTGTCAGGTAGTCTTTAATCCAGGTGATAGTTGAGGCCCCCACCTGTGTCTTCTGGAGTTTCTGGCAAAGTACATCAGGCTGGATTGTGTTAAATGCACTGGAGACATCAAAGAATATGACCCTCACAGTGCTGCCTGCTTTGTCCAGATGACAGTGGATTGGTTGAAGCAGCTGGAAACACATTCTCACACCCAAAGCGTCAAAATATGACGCGTGTGATCAAGCGTCAAGATATGACGATTCGGGACGCCCCAGCGCGTCAGGAGACTACAATCAGGGACACGTGGCTCCGCTGGCGTCAGTGTTTGACGGTGTCTGCAGTGCCTGCGGTCACACGGACATTAATCGACTATTTAACCTTCCCCTCACCCCAGTCCTAACCTTAAGGTCATTAACTGTGACCTTGAGGTTAGGATTAGTGTGAGGGGAAGGTTAAGTAGTTCACAAGGCGTTCTAATGCCCATCTCACCACCAGCGTCAGATACCGACGCTCTGGGATGGCGCGTCATCAGTGTGTCCCTGATCGTTGTCTCCTGACGCGCTGGGGCGTCCCGAATCGTCATATTTTGACGCTTTGGGTGTGAGAATGTGTCGGATGATGGCATCTTCAACTCCAACTCCATGGCGATGAGCAAACTGCAGCGGGTCCTGATATGTTCTAGTTTGCTTATTCAGGTGGACCAACAGGAGTCTCTCCAGGACCTTCATGATGTGGGATGTCAGGGCAACCGGTCTGTAGTCGTCATTGACTGATGGGCGAGTTTTCTTTGGAACTGGAACAAGGCAGGATGTCTTCCACAGGACTGGAACCTTCTCCTGGGCCAGGCTGAGGTTGAAGAGGTGCTGCAGAATCCCACAGAGCTGCTCTGCACAGGCCTTCAGTACCCTGGGGCTGACACCATCTGGACCTGCGGCCTTGTTCCTGTTCAGTCTCTCCAACTGCCGCTTCACCTGACATCCAGAGACAGATAGGTGGGAGGGGGAGGTAAATGGGGCAGCAGCATCTCCTGACTTGGTTGAAGCCAGATTTATAGAACCAGAAGAGTCCATGACTGCGTTAGAGGACAAAAGAGCTGGCGTGTGACAGGAAAATGTTGGATCAGAGGAGGATGGGATGTCTGATTGGCTGGGGACAGGCGAGGAGGATGCTGGGTTTGTTCCTAAACTGAACCTATTGAAGAACTTGTTCAGTTCATTTGCTGTGTCCAGGCTGCCATCTGTGCAATCCTTCCTCTGCTTGAAGCCTGTGATCTTCTTCATCTCTGACCAGATTGTCTTAAACAAATTGTCTCCAACATTTATATTGTTCTTGTGCAGCTAGTTTTGAGTTCAGTGTCTGCAGACATACTTTACTCATAGTGCTTCAAGGTCAAACGGACATGTTTGATAAGCTGATAGAAGGTTTGCCTGTAGTAAGCCTGAGGAAGTTTGCAGCTGCGAACGAAACGTAAAGCGGGAAAACAGGTAAACGAAGCTGCTCTGTGTTTTAAAAAAGAACTACAGCATGGAATTAGAGACACGACACAGCAAGAACACACCTAAGATGATAGAAAAGAAGTTTGTTTTATTCAGCTGAAAAGGATCAAAGGCTTTTCAACATGCTGAACGAATGTCGCCTTCATATCGCAGCTAAAAGCAAAGTCACTGTAGACTCAAAAACCACGTGTGCAGACCCAGTCACATGTTTAGAATCATCCAAATTTTCATTTTTCTTAAACGTTTGTTTTTGTTAAACAACAAGAAATGTTCACAAGTTCCTGCAGTTGTGATTTTGGGAACAGTGTCGTGTTTTTATTTCCCTCCAGCTGAGACAGTCGTACGGAAACGTGTACAGTCTGTTCCTCGGTTCCAAACCTGCTGTAGTCATCAACGGGCTAAAGGCGATGAAGGAGGCGATGGTGACCAAAGCTGCCGACTTCGCTGGAAGACCTCAAGACTTGTTAATTAATGAGCTGACGCGGAGCAAAGGTAAAGTATGTACAGTAACAGTGTTTTTGTCTTTGTACGTTCACTCACTGCCTCATTTCCTGTCCCTTTGTCGCCAACTACTGGGGCGACGGTGGCACAGGAGTTAAGAGCTCGCCCCATAATCGGAAGGTTGCAGGTTCGAGCCCCGCTCAGTCTGTCGCTGTTATTGTGTCCTTGGGCAAGACACTTAACCCACCTTGCCTGCTGGTGGTGGTCGAAGGGACCGGTGGCGCCAGTGCTCGGCAGCCTCGCCTCTGTCAGTGCGCCCCAGGGCAGCTGTGGCTACATCGTAGCTCATCACCATCAGTGTGTGAATGTGTGTGTGAATGGGTGAATGACTGGTTGTGTTGTAAAGCGCCTTGGGGGGTTTCAAGAACTCTAGAAGGCGCTATATCAAATACAGGTCATTTACCATTTACTACTGTTAGATGTATTCATGCTGGAATGATCCTGAGGATCATTAAATGTAATCGTAATCGAGCCTTCACCTTGACCTGTACCTTCATCTCTGGTTTCAGGTGTGATTCTGGTCGATTACGGCTCAACCTGGAGGAAGAATCGCCATTTTGATCTGATGACTTTGAAAATCTTTGGTCTTGGAAAGAAATCAATGGAGGACCGGATTCATGAAGAGCTGCAGCACACCGTAAAAATCCTGGACCAGAGCACTGGTGTGTGGTCTGTTGGTCTACACAACGTGTTAATTCTCACTCATCCGTGCTGTGATGGAGTGTGTGTTATTCTGTGTGCAGGTGAAACTCTGAGTCCTCAGGTTATGTTTCATAACGTCGCCTCCAACGTCATCTGTAAGGTTCTGTTTGGTACGCGTTATGAGTACGATGATGAAAGCATCAAAGTGATGATTCAGCGCTTCATTGAGTTGACTAAATTAATCAACGGACCGTGGGCCATGGTGAGTTGCAGTTTTTCTCAACCACGAAAAACGTGGACAAGACTTCTGCCGGTGCTGAGTTGCTGGGCGTTCATGGAAGTTCAGTTTCCAGATTTTTTGTGGATTTGGAGAAGGTTGACCTCTGAAGAATTCTGTTAGGGTGCTGTGGGACTATGAGGTGAGGTCGCTGTACAGCCAAAATAAAAGCTGTGTCCACATTCTAGTTGAGCTGATTCTCAATTGGTTTGATTCTTTTGGTGTCTTTAAGACATTACCGCCATCGTGGAGGCAGCCTGTAGCTGGGATGAGCACCAGCTCTTCTTCTGAGGCCAACTGGGAGAAGGGGGAATTCTTTCTCCTTTCAAGAGTAGAATTGTCCTATAGTCTCCACAGGTGACGGCTGGATTCAGTGAGAGTTGGACTGATGGATCAGGACTTCTTGAAGCATCGATTTGGTCTGTTGTGGTGAGGAAGAAGCTGTGCTGAAATGCAAAACTCTGCATTTTCTGCTCCTTCTGCCTTCCAGCTCTCAACTATTGTTTTGAGAAGTGGATCACGACATGATTATAATTCAGTCATCCTGTCAGTGCACCCCAGAGCAGCTGTGGCTACATGTAGCTCATCCCCACCAGCGAGTGAATGGGTGAATGACTGTGTTGTGAAGCACCTTGGGGTTGTAGATCCCAAAAAAGGTGCTATACAAACACAGGATGTTACGTTCTGGCTCGTGGGATCGCAACATAAGGAGGAGGTTTGGACACATGGTGGGAGAGAAGAGTGTTTTGCACTTTCAAATCAGCCTCTAAAAGGCCTCACCAACTGCCACACAGATAGAAGCTATCAAGATCTCTCTGATCAGTCTCATCTCTTTCGAGTTGCACCAAACAGCCTTTTATGCTGCACCCATGGATGCAGCCACTCATGATCGATTACAGGCTCCACAAAGCCAGACCAACAGGGAGCCTAAGTCTCCTCCCTTTCCAGTCAGCTCACAGGTCCCCAGAAGAACAAAAAAATGAAAGCAAGTGCACGGGGCTAACAATGATATTTTCTAATCCGCTTTGCCGTACGCCCTGGATCACACATATGTTGTACTGCAATTTAAATGAAAACTAATGATGGGTGTTTCAACCACGCCAGTCACGTACTTTGAGATTCATTCGCTTGTAAAAGTTCGTAATTAGCATGACTACACACTAGAAATCGGCACGTCGCATATGTGACGTCAACCATGGACGTAATTTGAGGGGGGGGGGGGGGGTCCCCCCCCTTTTCCAAAGTCAAGTTTTGACCCCTGCACTTTTTACCATCCAAAAAACAATATTACGCCATATTAAATTGACAGTGGTTGAGCTCTAGGACCCAGCGGAAAACAACCGTCTTTGTTGAAGCCTGTTTCCCATTAGAACATACTGTAAAGATACAACCCCCCCCTCCCCCTCCCCCCGTGTCCCCTCCACTTCTAAAGTGAAAACTACGTCCATGATGTCAACACATAATCTCCTCTCCGCTAGAGTAGCTGCTACTTACCACATGATTTATGGTGGTTCTTTCCTCCTGTGGGAAGTTTGCTGAACTTCAGCCCTTTTCCCCCAGTTTTCTCCGTGTCTGGTTAGATGACGTCACTTTCGTGAGGCGCATTTGTGGTTCTGGACTTATTTTCACACAAAACCTAAAATAGTGTTTCCCCTGTTCGAAAATAAAAATTCTTGGAATCAAAATGTGTCTTTAAAATTCACGGACATCATATGTGAAATCCATGGCACAAAACAAGCGGAATTAGAAAAAAAGTGTTTTTAGCCCCGTTGACTTGCGTTCATATTTTTGTTCTTCCGGGGACCCGTGGTTCAGAAGTAGATGGGCGTGACTTAGGCTCCCTATTGTGACAGAGGGGCGTGAGCATGGACATCCAAAGCAGCCAATCAGCTGGTCGCATTGGCACAGCAGAATTTGCTTGTCAGATGAGTGCATGGTTTCTCTCATTGCAGATGTAACCAAGCCACCACAATGCAGCTCTAAAATTGAGGCAAACCCGGAAATGAAATAAATTGCAGTTCCACCCTCATCCACTAGGGGCTGGTGTCAGAAGCGAGCAAATCCTCATTGACTCCCATGTTAAAAATACCAATTTCACAGCAGAAATAAACATGTTTACAGCCTGGTACCAAAACATGTTTTTTGTTTAAATGATCTAGTTTACACTCATGACAACTCTGAGGGGGGTGAATTATTTTCTCACTCTTCTGTTTAAGTGTATTAAAAGCCTAAAATTCTGTATAATTAATGAGCATCAGACCCACGTGACCACAGAGCTAGCTCCGGGGAAAGGCCTCAGTACAGCCTCGGTCTGGCCTGGAAACTGTTCCGGGATTTTGAGTCTCTGCGTTTGTGTATTCTGTAGTCAAAATGGCGGTGGTGGCCACCTCCCATTTGGCCTCAAAAACATGATATTGGAGCCTATGGAAAGGAATTGTCCAGTATATTTATGTCGATGGATGTAACACAGGCCATTTACCATCCTGCTCCCATCTTCATGACAACCACAGCTCTCTGCCAGTCCTGCTTGTCTCCCACATTGTGGTTAACAGTAACACAGGGTGGTTAGGTGTTTGCTTTGCGGGTTGCTGGTTTGAACCCAGGCTCCGTCCATTGTGTTTTTGTGCAAGACACCTCAGCCCCTTGCCTCCTAGTGATGGGCGGCTGTAGCTAATGTAGCTTATCACCATCAGTGTAGGAATGTGTGCGTGAATTTGTGAATGACTGACTGGTGTAAGGAACTTTGGAGTCCTCTGAAACAAGTGCAGGTCATCTGTCTGCTCACGCTCGCGTCACTCACCTCTTCTCCAGCTACATAAACATCATCTAGCTACAGGTTAACCGCCAGATTCCAGAAAGCCTTTTGTGCGAGATGTCCAACATGTTCAGCCATGCTGTCTTTCTGCCGCTGACCCTCGCCTGCCGTCTGACTATGAGGATCGGGGCCTGCTGTCTTGACGGTTAACCGGGGTTTTCATCCAGGTGTAGACTTTAATAAAAGTCCTAAACATCATTCTGTATGCAGTTGTCATTTAGGGCCAGAAACGGTCATAACAGAAACAATGAGAAGCCATAAACAAGCAGCTGAAGTCTTCTTCCTCTGAGCTCAGCGAGCGGCTCCGACTAAAGCCACTGCTCCTCCTCATCGAAGTGGTTTTTGTGTTTGGTCAGGAAGCTTCCTGGTCATCCGTCTGAAGAGGAAGTTGTCTGGATTTCATTCGTGTGAAATAATTATTCATGGTTCTTCACAGGTGTATGACTCTCTTCCTTTCATTCATCCTGTGATGCTGCCCAAAATGAAAGGGATCAGGATTGTACAGGTAATGTTAGAAAAAAGATTTTTACACACACTGTGAAAATATAAACATAAAAACAGCCTTTCATTATTGGTCATGAAATCTGTTTTTTTTAGGCTTTTCTGAGTTTTGCAGTCAGCCGGGTGAACGAACACAAGACGAGCAGAATCCCTGGAAAACAACGAGATTTTATTGACTGTTATCTGGATGAGCTGGATAAGGTAGAAAACCTGGAAAACTGAAAAAAGACAGATTTATTTTATTTGTGTTAAAATAATTTTGTTTACTTAAACAAAATGAGTTGAACAAGTTCACCAACTTTTATTAAAGGTTTGGATTCTGACCTGATTTCTGTTTATTTTTGTTACGACCCGGCTTTTGTTCAGAAGAACGACGAGTCATCGTTTTCAGAGGAACAACTCGTCAGACAGCTGTTTGATCTTTACCTTGCTGGAACCGACACCACCGCCAACACGCTCCTCACAGCGTTCCTCTACCTGATGAATCACCCTCAAATACAAGGTACCGTCCCTCACGGAGAATTAACTTTATTACTTTTTCTACAGCAAAGCTTTAAAGGTCCTTTATAATTCTGTGATTTTGTCATTCAGACAAACGAAGCTTCAACTTTCCCTCCACACTTAGTTTAGTTAGTTTAGTTTATTTGTCATATGCAAGTTAGCACAGGGTCAACATTGCAATGAAATGTGTTTGACGAGCAGCAGTCTCTCAGCAGCATAATACAATAGAAAAAAAAAAGAACAAGGTATAATACAGTAAAAGCAAAATATTAGAGAGTCATGCTAAAAGTAAAAGCTTACTAAATAGATAAGTAAGTATAGATGACTAAATTTAAATATATCTAAAAAAAGTGAGTAGTAACATTAAAATGAAGTAACCAGTGCAGGTTAAATTTTACTTGTGGAGCTGCAGGGTAACATCTGTATCCTGTGTTGTGTGTGTTTAAGTGTAATGGTTGAGGTGTCGTATGGCTTGGTGGTAGAAACAGTTTTTAAGTCTCGTAGTGCGAGCAGGCAGACTCCTGTAACACCTGCCAGATGGTAACGAGGAGAACAGCTGATGCGCTGGGTGGCTGTGGTCCTTGATGATGCTGTGTGCTTTCCGGAGGCATCGCTGGAGATAAATGGCAGGAAGCCTTGTGCCAGTGATGTGCTCTGCTGCTTTTCACCACCCTCTGTAGTGATTTACGGCTGCTGGCAGAGCAGCTTCCATACCAAACTGTGATGCAGCTCGACAGCAAGCTCTCAATAGCACACCTGTAGAACTTTGAGATGATACTCGTGTTCATGTTAGCCTCTGATTCCTGTCTTGATGTTTTGGTCTCAGAGCGATGCCAGCAGGAAATCGATCAGGTGTTAGAAGGAAAGGATCGGGTCACCTTTGAGGACAGACACAACATGCCTTACATGCAGGTCAATCAGGTTGTCTTTATAACTTTTCTGCTTTTAGAGGATCGCCTGGGCTGAGGTTTTAAGTCTTCTTTCCTGCAGGCTGTGATCCATGAAGTCCAGAGAGTCGCCAACAGCGTTCCTCTCAGCATCTACCACTGCACAACTAAAGACACAGAACTGATGGGATACTCCATTCCCAAGGTGGGAGGAAACCTGTTTTTTTTTACTGAAGACAAACTAAAATGTGGTGAATCCTTCATGACATTTTCTTTTTATGTGTCTCTCTTCAGGGAACGTTGATCATCCAGAACATGATCTCTGTGCTGAAGGAGGAGGGTCAGTGGAAGTTCCCTCATGACTTCAACCCCGAGAACTTCCTGGACAAGGCGGGGGAGTTTGTCAAACCAGAGGCCTTCATGCCTTTCTCTGCAGGTAAACCTGTTCTAGATTCTGTCAGAGCTAGAATAGAGTTTGTTCCATCACCTCCAGGTTCTTTGGTGTTCTTCAGGTCCTCGGATGTGCCTCGGAGAGGGTCTGGCTCGTATGGAGCTCTTCCTCATCACGGTGACTCTGCTGAGAAAGTATAAGTTCATCTGGCCAGAGGAGGCTGGAGAACCAGACTACACGAGAGTCTTTGGGGGAACTTCAACTCCAAAACCTTTTAACATGAAGATCCTGTTGAGGTCCTTGTAGTAAGTTGATGTTCAGACTTCTTTCATGCAGAAAACGTAATTTATTCTGTATTTGCATTTGTATCCTTTTTATTTCCTTTTTAAAATATTAAATCATTTCCAATATATTTTTATAATTTATAGAAATTTCAAACAGTGTAAAACGTTGATGATTGCTTTATTTTTTTTATTTTATTTTTTTAGGGTCTCGGATCTTCTTCAGAATCAAATAACAGCAACAAATGGATCATTTTAAATAGTCATTATTTTCAGATCTAACGCGTGTCAAATGAAACACAATGAAAGACATGCAGATGAATTTCACAGTGTGTGATGATGACTGTGCGACTTTAAAGACCCCGCTCACTGAGAAACCATTTTTACTTTTTTGTGGTTTGATCGACCGATAGAAAACGGACGGGGAAACACTCGGATAAGAAAAGCCTGTCAGACTTGCATCACACTGATAATTATCAATCATGGACTCACCCATCTTGGCTCGAGATGGAGAAGTTGCGTTGCTGTTAGCCAATCAGAGGCAACATATAAAATATTATAATAATGAGTAAAACGCCAAAACCTGCCATTTTCTGTCTTCCTCTCGTCCAACTAAATGTCACTTCCTGAGATGGAGCAAAAGAGCTTTTGATAAGCAGTGGTGGTCAAATGAAGCTTCAAAACCAACGGGGCTTTTCAGCACATTGCTTCACCAACAGATTCATACTCAAAGCTCCATTTAGTACGTCATCTACTCAGCCTTATGTAGCGACATCTGCTGGTGGAGTTCAACATGGCAGCCAAGTCATCCTAATAAACACGCCAAGCATGTACAATAAATAAATGGATCGAATGTTTCATGACTCTGCTGTCATTTATTTCTAATCACGATTCTCACCACCTGTTTCAACGCAATTGTGGATTATGCTCATGTTCACATGATGTAGACTCATTCGTTCACAAAAATGAACCAGCTCAGTGGCCTAGAGTGTCCGCCCTGACTTGGAGGTCAGAGTTCGATTCCTGGTCGGTTATACCAAAGACTTAGAAAAAAAAGGGACCCAATGGCTCCCTGATTGACACTCAGCATTAGGGGGTTGAGCTCTGGTTCTTGGCCTGGGCCGTGGGTCCAAGTGTGGGGGGGTTAAACCGCCAAATGGTTCCTGATCGCGGCTGTGTCTGCAGCTCGCCGCTCCCTCAGGGGATGGGTCATATGAATCGGTGTGTGTGACAACTGATGGGACTTTAACTTTTTTAACTTAAAACATTCTTGATTAAATGGGATTTTATACAACATTAGTGGTGGTGGTAGGGTCAGTGATCCATATTTTACACTTATTTTTGAAATACACGGTCAAAAGACTTCATTTGCATAGTTTTGTACCTAAAACCGTGTACGAATTCAGATGGGTCTATTTACGTCAGTTATTCAGCTCAGACTGAAAGACCATCTAAGGGCTCAGGAACCCTTTGCAGGTCTTTTGGATTCATCAGCTCATTACGTGGCAGAACACTAACTAAAAATAAAAGTCTAATTAAAATTGGACTGTCACATTGCAGGAGCCATAATTAAATACATTTGTTATATTATAAAAAATATATGTTTATCACTGAGTTTCCATTTTATTGTTTCTCCTTTGTTGTCGTGATGGTGTGTAGCAGGGGTCACGTGTGTTGCAGTCACGTTGTGTTGAAGGAAGGATTTGACCCAAATAAGTTCAAGTTGTTCCTGTACCAGTAAAAGGCTGTGATAAAGGAAGAAATGTATTCCACTTCTGTGAGGTAACGAGAAGCCAACAGCACATAAAACAAATAGACCTGGACCCATCCTCTGCCTCGAGCGACGGTGGAAGTTGCTACACGCACAACAAAGAAAATAATTATATTGAATGTGAGACTATCTGTAGGAACTAGTAGAAAACTCCTGGGGTGACCAAGTAAAGTGAAAGTAGATTTTTTTCACTGTAGCCTGTCACTTACCAACTGTGATCAGCAGATCAAACCACTTCAGTATTACTTCATTTTGCTTTTCATGACTTAGATGTTTCCATTTTAAAAAAACTTCTGGGACACTTGTTCTTTTAAATCATTCTAACAAGTTTACTTACATCTGATGCTCATCCGAGACGTTAAATACATTTATAGTAGATGTCTGGAGAAACATCCAGTATGTTAACACGGCCACCATTGGGTTTTTAAGGATTTGAAAGAAGTAAACAATTTTTTATACAGCGCCTCTCAAGATGACACGATGCTTCACAAAAACAAAAATGTTAATATAAAAAATATTTCAATAATTGATTAATACCATGATTAAAAATAAGAAGAAATAAAAATTGTGATTAAAATATTTAAGGTAAGGGAGAGAGAAAATGAAAAGGAAAGAGGGAAGTCTGTGGATCTCGGGAAAGGCAGAATAAGAGCAGAATAAAAGAGGGTGGTGATGAAGGTCCCACCAAACCTGAACAGGTGAGTTTAAAGGAGACCACTGAGTCCACTGATCTCAGGCTCAGGGGGAGAGAGGTACAGAGTCTGGGGGCCACAGCAGCAAATGATCTGTCACCTTTGACCTTTAGCCTGGTGCTGCACAACCAGTATATTTGGTCACTGGACCTCAGGGACCTGCTGGGGGTGTAGGGACTAAGAAGATCACCAATGTAAGATGGTGCTTGTCCATGTAAGGCCCTATAGACCAGAACCAGGATCTTGAAATGAACCCTGAAGTTGACTGGCAGCCAGTGAAGCTGGAGGAGAAGCGGGGTGATGTGGGTGTGTTTGGAGGACTTGGTCAGAAGCCGAGCACAGGCGTTCTGAACCACCTGTAGACGGTTCAGGGAGGTTCTGCTCAGACACGTGAAAAGAGAGTTGCAGTAGTCTTGTTAAGAACATACTTATCAAGTACACAAGAATGTACTAGCATCGTTGGGTATCACTAAAAAGTGTGATAGTTGATGATATCGTAAAATGGCTTGTCATAGACATTCAGGTCTTTTATTTTTTGTTTTCATTTATTTCATTTATTTACAAATTGCAGTCGTGCTTCAGCTAGCAGACTGATGCCATGAACAACAAGAGGGTTTGTTAAACTGCTAGCATTTCCTTTTTTAGTGACAGGATTCAGATCTGTTGCCTTTCACTTGAACAAAATGTAGCGTAAGCCTGTTTCTGCCTCGTCTTAGTCTGCCAACTCGAGAAGTTTTGTAAACAAACTGAGACTTTGGTCAGATGATGTGCTGCAGCAGGAATGGAACTGCAGCTCGGTAACATTTTACCAAGAAAGCACTGAAATTTACCACAGAAAAATATATTGTTTCATTACTGGTTTTACATACACAATGCTGTACTGTCATTCGCTGAACCCCCCCCCCCCCCCCACACACACACACACACACACACACACACACACACACACCTCCTCCCATGTGTACAGATATAATGTGATGTTTTACTAATTCTACATTCAGTTTATTAAAGATTGTATGTAGTTCTGAGCTACTTCAGCACCACGGACAGCGCAATCATATTTTGACCCATTAGGTTCCAGCATTAAAAAAAAAATTGTTAAACTATTTGCACTTTACAATGCAAAAACTCCAGTTAATCTAACTTAACATTGCATTGAGTTCAGTTCATTATTCCAGTTTTACAAAAACCCGGCTGACTGCTTTGCGTGACTGACTTGCGTCATCCCCGGCCAGCATGTAGCAGCATGCTTGTTGCTTGATGTTCTTGTAGGGATGTTTGATGTTCTTGTACTTTAAGTGCTTGAGGAAAACTCCCCTTTAATAAACCTGCAACAGAACCTGGATCAGTGTGATCAGCCATCTGCCTTGACCTAATGAATGGTTTGAGAAGACAGAGCAGATACACACAAAATAAACAGATGCAGGGGATACACACACATGGCTATACATACTTATACTGCTGCTCTTAACTTTGTTTCCTCTGTGGAAAAATTAGGATTGGTCCAGTCCTTCTTTCTCTAGGTGTTTTCCTCTTCTCTCACACCAAGGCAGATTCTGGTTCTGGTACCATCAGAGGTCAAATGGGGAGTTTTCTTTACCACAGTCACCCAGTTATGCTTCCCAGGATGGATAATTGTGTTGCAGGGAAGATTTGAGGCACTATACTTCAACTCTTCCTGCTGGTGTTACTTTCATTTCTGTAGATTTCTTCTTTGTTTTTTAATTGATTAAAAAAATTCTACTTGTTATTTTTAACTTGAAAGGCACTATACAAAAATATATTCTTCTTTTTTTCTTCCCTTTAAATAATGACTTCTTATAATCTACTGAAACTAATGTGTTTTTGCTTAAATCTAGTACTGATGTGAGTTTCTCTTGATGCTTCTCATGCAGCACTTAGAGGTGACTCAGCTCTAAAACAAACAGGAACATTTTACTCTTGTTCTTGCCTGCAAGCCAGAAGTAAAACAATGTAAAAGATAATAAACCACAACATCCTGCATCCTACTACCTGTCCTCTATTTGATGTTCTTGTACTTTAAATATTAACAACGTTCTGCTCCATCAGTCAGAGTGGATCGTCATGTTCATTTCAACCTTTACTTTATCAGGTAAAAATGTTCGAGAACGTGTTTTCAGATAGTACAACCGCAGCATTGGGGCGATAGTGGCACAGGAGTTACGTGCTTGCCCCATAATCGGTAGGTTGGAGGTTCGAGCCCTGCTCAGTCTGTCGCTGTCATTGTGTCCTTGGGCGAGACACTTATCCTCCTTGCCAGCTAGCGGTGGTCAGAGGGCCAGGTGGCCCCAGTGCTCGGCACCCTCGCCCCTGTCAGTGTGCCCCAGGGCAGCTGTGGCTACAATGTAGCTCATCCCCGCCAGGGTGTGGATGGGTGAATGGGTGAATGACTGATTGTGTTGTAAAGTGCCTTGAGGGGTTCCAGGACTCTGAAGGCGCCATATCAAATACAGGCCACTTACCATTTACAACAAACAAAAGTACATTTGAGCCTATAAAAACTAGCAATAACACCTGAGAAAATGTTGATAAACTGAATTAAAGGCAGGCAATTAGAATATCAGAATCCACATCTGGAAAACATTTGTACCTGTTTACATGCATGCAGAAGAATCATTACAACATAAACGAGAGTCAGTGTGTGTGGATGTATGTAAATAGGTTTGGTCTGGGTCATAAAAAAGATCAGAAGATAGCTATCGTTTAGAATGTGCTACTACTAGTTCTTCTGTTTATCTTTGAGTGTCTGCTCTGTCTTCTCAAACCCCAGTGAGTTGTGGCTGATGGCTGAACAAACTATTGGAGGTTTCTTCGTGTTAAAAGGTAGTTTTCCTCTCCACTGTCACTACATGCTTGCTCAGTATGAGGATTGCTGTAAAGACTCTGACACAACAAGTCAGTGACTTGATGCAATCTGCTCGGTTACCTTATAGGAAACGTTAACTGATTAGCTTAGTGAAATTAACTAAGTACGCTGATAAGTAGGTTCAGTTGGAATGTTTACCTTGTGGAGTGCCTTGAGAGGACACAAGCACAATATAAATAAATGGAAATAAATTGAAGAATACAGATTTGGGACTATTATCATTTTAACAAGGATGTGTTGGGCAGCATGAGTGAAGGAAGTTTCATTAGAAATAAAGATTAAGCCTAGCTTTGATTGTTGTTTGTAGGCAGTTGATATGAGTGGTGAAAGATGAAGATGAATAAAGTCAGATACCCAGATATTTGAAGGTTGGGATGTAAACCAAACCAAGCCAATGGCCAAGCAGATCTTTGGGCCATGGTTTTTCCAATTAAAGATGATGAATTTTGTCTTCTTGGTGGTAAGTCAGAGATGGAGGTTGTGAACGGATTGCTCAATAGAATTGGGAAAGAGTTGATGAATAGATGCTGCAGACGTGGGAGAAAAACTAGTCAAGAAAAGGACATTGTCATCAGCATACAAATAAATCTGAGAAGCTTACCAGCAGTTTTGGCAGCTTCATTAATGTGGAGAGAATAAATTTGGGTCCAAAATGGAGCCCTGAGGCACACCTATAGATATTGTAAGTGGTCCAGATGAGATGTTTCAATCCTAAGCTGCTACACACATTTTCTCAGCTGTTTAACCTGTCTATTCTGACAGATGACTAAACACTACTAAACACTACTTCAACTTATTCCTTGGTTTACGCTCCATGTCTTTCAGCTTTGGAGCACCAACTGTATTAATGTGGATGATGCACCGAGCACTTTGTTTTTGGCCATAAAAATAACATCAACAACTCTCATGGTGGCTATCCATGTCTAGAATGTAGCTGGAGACAAGGTAGTAACTAAGCTGTTTGAGGATTTTGGCTAGATATGGCAGTACGGAGATTGGTTGGAAGCCATTGGGGTCAGAAATGGAGCCACTTTGAAGAGAGGCAAGATCACGGCTGATTTAAAATTCCAGAGGTAGGATAGAGATTCTTGTAATGGGAGCAACAATAAAATGAGCAGATGCTTAATAAAAGTCCATCAGAGTCAGCAGATTAATTCGGTTCCGGCGTGGTGAGTTCATCCTGAGCTTGTAACAGGTTTTGGAATGATGATGCTTCTTGTGCTTCACTATAAGGTAACTTTTTTGCAAACTATTTCCACGAAGATAAAGTGAAAAGAATCCAACGGGGACATTTCACATCCTCTTCATATTTTCACAGCTGCACATTCCTTATGTCCTCTGCCGACCATCTGATTATGTGCAACCTCTTCATGAAATTTAAATCCAGAGGGGTGCAGGCAGAGCCGTGTCCAGGACTTTTAAAATCGGGTGGCCCATGTGGGGCACTTGTTTATGCATGGGTGGCACCAATGGTTGTGCTTTTTTATTTATTTACACAAATCGTTTATTTATTGACTTTCTGGTGAATTTTGGAGTTTCACATTGCACGATCACCATTTTTTCTATTCATCTTCTAGTTTTGTGGTGGTTAGCAAGTCCCTTCTTGTTGCATTATTGCCACCAACTGGAGTTGAGTGGGACTCTAAATACTATTTTTGTAAATATGAAAAAATAATAAATAATATTAATACTACAGAAATGTTCTGTAGGCCTGGGCTAGAAGACAATGTTAAAGGTGCATGCTACCACACACTATTTTTGGAGTTTACAACTCAAGCCTTTTGTCAACAATGTAAAGTCAATTTAAACTGGAACTTAGTAGGGTGGCACCTGGGGGTGGCCAATCAGATTCTAAGGGTGGCATGTGCTACCCCAGGCCACTCCCTGGACACGCCCCTGGGTGCAGGCCTTCTCTTTTGCCGCCCCAAAACTGTGGAACGAGCTACCTTTCTGTAAGGCAGACGTCTTCTCTGGTCAGGCTCCAGACGGCCCTGAAAACCCGTGTTTTCTGCTTAGCTTTTAGTTTGTTGATTATTGTTTTTGTCTTTTATGTTTTACCTGTACAGCACTTTGGCCAGTTGATGCTTTATAAATAATTGGATTGGACTGTTGTATTCTGCTGCTACATGCTAAAATAACATATTAGATTAAAAAAAACAGCACCTCCCACATCTCACTGCCCACCCTTAAGTTGATGTTGTCATTCACTTTAAATTTAAACTAAGTGCAGCCAGATCTGAGCAGTTAAACCACTTGACCTCAGCAGATACAGATCATCATGTTCGTGTCAATAGTTCTGCTGTGGATCTCCGTTTGCTTCATCCTCCTCCTACTTAAATCACGAAGACCCAAGAATTTCCCACCCGGACCCCCAGCCTGGCCCGTCCTGGGGAACCTTCTGTATCTCATCTCAAAAGATCCTTTGATGAACTTGGAGAAGGTAAGCAGGAAGCTGCAATAAATCCTGTAAATTTGAATGATTTATTATATTTTCTTAGTTTTTTTTATATGCAGCGGTTTAAAATACAGCAACAGCAGACCTGGACTTTATCCGACAATGATAGGTCAAACTTCCGTTTTATCAACCAGCGGAAAGAGAAAGAATATTACGAAGAGAGAAAACTCCGTTATATACAGCTGAAAAGGATGAAGTACTTTACATCTGAAGAATTGTTTTTGTCATTTCATTAATTATTTGTTTCAGAGGGACGGTGTGCCTTGATAAACACCATTACAGAGATGTAGAAATACACATAATTACAGCAAAAAGCTGATTTCTATTTGGATTTACCCCTGCCAGATATTATGGGCAAAATCTACAAAAGAAACACAGACATGATCAAATTCAATTAAAATACGACATAAACTAATGTTTGCCCTGCAGTTTTAATACAATACAAATTTACATTCACTAACAATTATCTTTTTCTGTGGGCTGTGTGGTGGCGCAGTTGTTAGTACTGTTGCCTCGCAGCAACAAGGTTGCAAGTTCAAAACTCGGCTGCGGCCTTTCTGCGTGGAGTTGCGTGTTCTCCCCAGGCGTGCGAGGGTTTCCTCCGGGTACTCCGGTTTCCCCCACAGATCACAACATGCCTATGCGTTAACAATTGTTGGTCGCTTTGGATAAATCCAAATAAATAAACATAAACATCTCCAGACAGATTAAAAAACATTGCTGAGGCATTGCACAATCACCTCTGCTGGAAGCTGTGGGAACTCCACCAGTGGCTACATGACCTGACCTTTGAATAAATTTGCTCAAAGGAACGAGGAAAAGGCTGTTCAGAATTTTCTAAACCGTACGTTCCCCTTTAAACTCAAGATTATTGGTGAAACTGAGTATGTTCTGAGTTTCTGGGGTTTTACAGATCTGATGGATGCGGTAGCAGCTGTGTCTGGCGGTAGCTAGGGTTGCTACAGCTTCTTATCAGATCTTATCAGATGTTTAAAAATCAGACAAAATGTTACTCTTAACAAACCCTTGTTTCGGTTTTGTTAGACGATCATGAACTTGAAACTTTCAGTGTGCTTGCTGAAAAAGTTTTGAAAGATTCCCTGCAGTTGGCACTTTTGCTATAAAATGGCATTTTTATTTTCTTCCAGCTGAGACAGTCTTATGGAAACGTCTACAGTTTATTCCTCGGTTCCAGACCAGTTGTAGTCATCAACGGGTTAAAGATGATGAAGGAGGCGATGGTGACCAAGGGTCCTCACTTTGCTGGAAGACCTCAAGACCTGTTAATGAATCGGCTCACTCAGTGGAAAGGTAAAGTAGTATTGTCAGAAAACAAACCCAAGTACAAAACGTTTTTTTAATTCAAATTCTGTTCGGTTTGTTATTATAGCGCTAAGTCACGACAAGAGTATAGTCTCAAGACACTTTACAAAATAAAACTGTCCAACTGAGTTCAGTTCAGTAAGCCAGTGACTTAAAACGTTTCTGTAAAAGGAACCCAGTCGAGTGCATCGAGTCACAGACTTGATGTGTCAGACGGGCGGATTTAGGACTGAAGAAGATCCGGGGCTTAACACACACGCGCGTGCGCATGCGTCTTGTACCACATCATTTTTAATCTGAAGCTACATATTAAGCATTTTCAGGGCAGAGTATTGTTCCTGTTAGTGTTTAGTGTGAGATGATAGTAAATATTCCCTTTCTTTCTCCAGCAACTTTACCTGATAGTAAGCTAACTTTAGGCAAACCAGCAGCACAACAAATATTTTCAAATAAGACTAACAAACCTGAGTCAGCACCAGTCTCATCAAAGCTGGGGTTCTGTCGCGGTACTTTTTGTCTAAAAAACGTCCTTATGTCCATCTTCACTCATGCGTTTCAGGCAAAGAGTGCAGAAGAAGCTGGCTGCTGAAGGGCTTCTTCTTCAGTGGTGGAGGTTCAGGCAGGCTGTATACAAACTACTGCCAGCTGCTCCCTCTCTGTTGGACTTTGGTACTGCATGCTACTTCCACGTTTTAGATCCGGGGCTTTTCATAAAACATTCTGGGCTTGAGTCCAAGTAGCCGGGCCTAAAGCCGCCCCTGGTGTCAGAGACTTCACAGCAATCCTCATACTAGACCAGCATGTAGGGACAGTGGAAAACTCCCTTTTTGTGTCATTCATGTCTTTATTATTTTTAAAGATTTAAACACACATGTAAATACAACACGCACAAACCAACACCTAACTCCAAGCATGGGCAAAGAGGAGATAAAGATAGAAGGGAAAGAAAAAAGACAGTTGAAAGATCATCATATGATTTTATGCATCGAATAAAATTACTCCATACCTTCTAAGTATTCCCCTGGGCCTTACTTACTTTACCGGCCACGCCTTCAAATGAGGCCGTGTCTGTCATTAACTTGACCCAATCATCAGCCTCAGGTTTATGGGGGCTTTTCCAAGTTCTTAGGATGAGTCTTGCAGCCACAATAACACCCACCACCCAAAAAGCTATTTTGTTGATTCCGGGGGTCGGAGGCAGGGCTTAATTTGAGCCGGATCTTGCCGGAACAAGATTCAGGAACTATTTTGTTTTGAAAGGAAAACTGTCTGCTAAGATCTAGCAACTCACACGACAAACTTGTGCTATACGCAGGATTCAAATTACTGGTGAGCTAAAGGGAGCTCCTGGAAGCCCTCAACACACCCAGAGGGAGCCCGAAAACGATCCTGGTTTTACTGATATTAGATTATCTATGTGGACTCTCCGGGGATTATTATGAGCTGAGAGGCGCAGAGCTCTGATCGATGACGCGCTCCAGACAGATGCGTCCTGAGCACGGCCACAGTAACATTATCAAAGTGTCGCCACCTCAAAAACAAAGTTAACACGCGATCGTTCATGTTGGCTCATTTCCTTTTATGCTTTCTGTCTTTTATTTGTTCCTGATGTGTTTCGCTGCTGTGAAGCAGAGCGCATCACCTGTTTCGTCCTCCGGTGATGCACCTCACCGGTGCGGCCAGTGCAGCCGGCGCGCACTCTGCTGTTTTTGCGGTCGGTAGATCTTTTAGAACTGCAGTTCAAAGGTAACTCATGAGGTGAATATATATGAAGCCAGGTAGCAGTTCTTCTTTAGGATTGAGAGGAGATGCAGGAAGATAAACAGACAGGACAGAAAAACTGTCAAATAAAAACAAGTTAGTTTTTGTACCTGCTGGTTGCAACAAACAGACACCATTGAAGGTAATCAGAAGTGAGGAACAGAAAATGAAATAATTATTTCAATGTTTAGATCAGCAGGAATTCTGAGAGGCTGCAAATGCACCAGTGAGTTTGCGGCCGCTGCGCAGGGGGAGGGGGAGAGGGCTGAAGCAGAGCAGTATAGATGCAGACACTAACGTTGTTATAAGAGATGTGTGTTAACTTAGAAAATGTGGGCACAATTTTAATTACTTGTCAAGATCATGTTAAGACTCTGACACTAGTCAGTGACTCGATGCAATTCTCTGGATTCCATTTGTTGACTTTGTGGCGTGCCTTGAAACGACTCTTGTCGTGATTTGGTGCTATATAAATAAACTCAATTCAATTCAATTCATTTGGAGATCCTTATGAAGCCATGAGACTATCATTTATAACTTTCACTAATGTGGTTTTAATTTCTTTCTGGTTTATAAAAATTATGAAATTTAATTTCTGTCTGTTTTCATTCGTTTTTGAGCAATTGTGCTTCATCTTGAACCCAAAAGTACCTCCGTCTCTAATTGCTCTTTTAGGTGTACTTCTACTTGATTACGGCTCAGCCTGGAGGGAGCATCGTCGTTTTGATTTGATGACTTTGAGGAACTTTGGTCTGGGAAAGAAATCGATGGAGGACCGAATTCATGAAGAATTGCATCACACCATTAAAATCCTGGACCAGAGCGCTGGTGTGTAGTCTGTTGGTCTACACAACATGTTAATTCTCACTCATCTGTGCTGTAATGGAGTGTGTGCTATTCTGTGTGCAGGTGAAACTCTGAGACCTCGGGTTATGTTTCATAACATCACCTCCAACGTCATCTGTAAGTTTCTGTTTGGTACGCGTTATGAATACGATGATGAAAACTTCAAAGTGATGATTCAGCGCTTGCTTAAATTGACTAAAATAATCAACAAACCATGGATGATGGTGAGTTACAGTCTCTCAACCTTTAAAACTATCATAAATGAAAACTGAGGACAATATCATTGTTATTGCTTAAGGGTTCATGGATGTTTAGTTTACATGCTTTTGGTGGATTTGGAGAAGGTTGGCCAAGGAATTCTGTTAGGGCATTCTGGGGTGATGTCTCTGTATAACCAAAGTAAAAGTTGTCCACATTCTTGCACTAAGTCGAGCTTATTCTCAGTCGATTGTCATGTTGTGGAGGTGAGTGAGATCCAAAAGCAGGTGAGTAAGAGCGCACTGAAGACAACCGCATGAGCAAAAACATTAAAGGTCTTTAATTCAGTGCTCAGGAGACAACAGGAGGACATTAACGGGGTTCAAGAACAGATGATCCAACAATTAACACAAAAGCAAACAGGATTTAAATGCATGAGGAGCAGGTAATCAGGTAACGAGAGGCAGGTGCAAACAATTAACTAATTAGACACATGAAACGCAGGGGCAGAACACAGGAGCAGGGAACAGATCTTGACAGTACCCTCCCCCAAGAAACAAACCACAGCAAGGACGTGGGAGGCATGGACGTAATTTTGGTGGGGGACAGGGGGGACATGTCCCCCCCACTTTTTCAAGTTTTGACCTCTGCACTTTTTACCATCCAAAAACAATATTACACTATATTAAATTGACACTGGTTGAGCTCTAGGACCAAGCAGAAAACAACCGTTTGTGTTGAAGCCTGTTTCCTATTAGAACATACTGTAAAGTTCCCCCCCCCCCCCCCCCCCCCCACACACACACACCCCACCCCACCCCACTTCTAAAGTGAAAATTACGTCCATGGTGGGAGGCACAAATTAAAAACAACCCACAACAAGCGGGTGAGAGGGTGCCACCAGAAACACAAAAACCCCACATGTCCATGCAGAAACAAACAGTCACAAGGTAGCCCCAAGACACCTGGGGGGCGGCGGTGAGGAGGCAGGAGGCAACATTTCCCTGGCAGAAGTGGGGCCCCAGAGGACATGAACACAGGAAGCTCTGCTGATGAAACACTCGGATGGCTGGACAATCCAGAGGCTGGACCCCTGGAATCATGAATCCAGACGGACAGGAGACTCAAACTCAGGAGGAGGCGGAGCCTCTCAGACAAGCTGGGATTCGGCAGTGCTGGGCTGCAGCGTGGACCCCATGGACCCTCCAGTGATGAGTAGGAAGCATCAGCAGCGTCGACTCCAGGCCAAGAGCGCAGACCATGAGACAAGGAAGCAGGACCCATCGAGACATTTTTGCGATGCAGTGTGAGACCACTCTGACCCACCAGAAGAGAGGATGAGGAATCAGGAGGGGTGACCAGGCTGTGAGTGCAGACCATGAGGCGAGGAGGCAGACCCCTTAGAGACCTGACCCACCAGAAGACCAAAGGTGGCATCAGGATGAACTGCGTCTCGCCAGCAACGCTGACCTGGAGGAGAAGCCTGGACCCTTGGCTGTTGATGTGAGGAACCCTTCTGACCCACCAGAGGAGAAGAGGAGGCGTCAGGAGGGGTTGTGCTGAACCGGCAATGAGGAGATGCTTGGACCAACTGCCCACAATGACCAAACCCCAGGGGACAAATAGCCAGTCAGGAGCCGATGAAGTGGGACTTGTCCTGGGGCTCAGCCCAGCTGAACCTTCAGGCTGAAGCATGGGAGCAGGCTTACGGTGGTGAGGAGGTCTATGGCGAGGTGGTGGATGGTAAACCCCAAAGATCGGTGGGTACCAGCACTCTTGTCCATCAGTGGGTGATGAAACAGGTTCAGCATGGCCTGCCTCAAAGATCCCCTGCATGAAGGTGATCATATGCATTTTCAGATCTGGCCTTTTTTTGAACATGTGTAGTAATGTTGAAAGACGTTTGACCGCTTGTGCACGGTTGTTGGGGAGTTTGCGCCTTGGTTGTTTGAAGGGCAATGGTGCCACCCAATTGTTTGCATCATCCATGAAGACCTCCTTATCCATTATTTCTAGAAAGACTTTGTCTTCTACATACAAGGCAGGCTTGTCATCATGTGGGGTTTGATGGAAGACTCCTTCTCCGATGTTACCTTTTTCCTCAAACAGGTCTTGAGATGGGTTAGCTACAGGAAAATTAATGTGATGGATTGCTGTGTCTAATTTCTCTTTGATATGAAGACTGTTAGAACAAGACTTGAACAGAAATGCACGTCCATTGCTCAGCACATTGTTGCGGTAGACATTTACAAGTTCTGGTTTGTGCGCTCTTCCAACACAAACCTATCCTACAATCACCCATCCCAAGTCGAGGCATTGTGCATAGGGGGCATTGTGAGGTCCATTGCAATACTCCCGAACCGTGTGTGCCCTTGGTACATCACGACCGAGCAGGATGAGGATGCCTGCTGAGGGGTCTAGAGCTGGGATTTTATCCATGACCTGCCTGAGATGTATATAATGATTGGGGATTTCAGACCTGTCATCAGGGAGCATGTCACATTCAATTAAGGTGGGAAGTGGAATTTGATTCCGTCTATCCAATGACTCCATTACAAAATTGTTAGCTCGTCGCCTCATGGTTTCGATAACTCCTGAGCAAGTCTTTAATGTGTATGCTGCTGTGCCCTCTGTAACACCAAAGAGTTAAAAAAAAAAAGCTCTGATCTTGCCAGGGACTTATTGCTCTGCTCGTCAAGAACAGCATGAGCCTTAATCGCTTTCTCCTTATGGCCAGCTGGATAAAGTCTGACAAGACAAATTTTAGAGCATGACCTTGCTCTGAGTGTACTTCCATGTATTTCAGTACATTTTGATATGACAGCTGAAGGAGTTTCTTCTTCTTGCTCCCCGCCCTGATCTCTTGTACTCCCGGAAGCCTCTGCAATCCGGGGGGTGCTCCTGGATGTAATGCAGTAGGGTGGTTCTCGCTTTTACACTCTCTGCACTGTAGGTTTTTTGAACAGCCCTTTGCTAGGTGAGTGGTTGATGCACAACACGTAAAACAGATATTATTTTCTTTAAGGTAAGTTTTTCTCTCGTCCAAAGGTTTGCTCCTGAAACCGTGGCAGTTCCTGAGAGGGTGTGGTTTGTTGTGGAGTGGACACTGCTGGTCTGGGTCAGCCATTCTTTTCTATGAGGGTTTGTTATAACTGCTGTTCAATTGTGTTGAGATTTCTGTCTTTTTGACAGAGATGGGAATTTTCATGTTACGTTTAAGAGAGGGTTCTGGTCTCCCTGACCTTGAATTACCTGTGAGTGAGGCAAAACTTGGGTCGTTGAGTATTTTGGCTTGATCACAAACGAACTTTGCAAAAAATGAGAATGGGGGATAAGGTACCTGGTTTGATTTCTTGTAACGAGATGCCAGAGAGACCCACTTGTCGTGCAATGAGTATGGCAACTTCTGGACAGTTGGAGTGATGCCTCGAGACGCATCCAGGTAACTGAGTTCTGGTAAAAAACCGTCTGCTCTGGCAGCCTCAAGCTCCAAGAGAAAATCTCCAAGTTCTCTCAGCTTTTGATTTTCTCAACTTGAGATTCTTGGAAATTCATCCACTTTCTTTAAAAGTGCATCTTCAATTGCTTCAGGTGATCCATAACATTCTTCCAATCTTTGCAATATCATCTGTACGCCAGCCGTTGCATCATTGATGTGAACTGCTCGTATCCTCCTAGCATGCTCGGATGATTTCTGTCCTAGCCATTTACATAAGAAGTCAAGCTCCTCTCTTGATGTTAGGTTTAGGTCTTCTGTAGAGCTGTGGAAAGATTGTTTCCAGGCCCAATAATTTTCAGGTTGATCATCGAACCTCAACAACCCAGAGCTTATCATCTCCTGACGAATTAGATACTTTGTCAAGTCTGTCGTAGATGATGAAGTGGGCTCCTTAGGTCTGGCAACAGTACCAGTTTGAGGCTGAGGGGGTTGATAGTTGCCGTTGAACTGTTTCCTGTTACATGACTGTATTTTATGACTGCATGAATCTTTGAATGGGTTTAAACCATGTTGATGTTCCTGTTCAAAGAAGCCTGTCCTGCGCGAGCTTTGAGTATCAGGGTATTATGGAGCAGCATTTTCATTCAGATTGGATGATTGTAAGATAGGTAAGTCATAGTTACCACCTTTTCGCAGCTTTTCTTTTCCTTCTTCAATATTGTTTCCAGCTGTATTAACATTGTCGATTGGTATTTGGCAAATGAGTCTTGATGTGGGCTCATGCAGCCTAGAGTCAGGGTAAAGCTCAGTAACTTTTTTATGCTCAGCAAATTCATTTCTCTGGCTAGCTTGACTTAACTCCTCAAACTCGTTCTCAGCAGCTGCTTCTAGAACATTGGCTTCAGCTATGGCTGCTGCAGCTTCACTCTCTAGTCTCAATGTATGCACACTATGCCATAAGTCAGCACAAGGTCTAATGTACAATGGCAGGAGTGGGTGGAGCTATGTATTCTTTGGGTAAAACCAATTGAGTCTAAGATATTGCTAAAGGCTACATTGAGGCTATCATTTTCAATGTCCACGTGAATGTTAAAATCCCCCACTATAATGACCTTATCAGTATTTAGCACCAAATCAGATAAAAAATCAGAGACCTGATCCAAAAACTTAGAGTAAGGGCCTGGTGGACAATACAATGTTTATTCATGTTTATTCATTTGGCAGACGCTTTTATCCAAAGCGACTTACAATTTATAATCTATAGGGTATGTTGTGATCTAAAACTACCAACAAGAGTGGTTTTACAGTTTTGCAATCTGTATTAGGAAAACTAAGGATAAGATGTTCAAAAGAACTGTAACTATTATTTGGTAAGAGATTGATTAATAGGTCTGAATGAAAAAGACTAGAACAAGGATGAACCAGCTGTTCAGAGAAATTTCTGAGTGCCTCATTTCAAGCCCAGCCTTACTGTCCCGTGTAGATTTGAAATAGATCAAAAATGATGAAAATCATAGTTTTGCATTCAGTTGTTATTTTGGGTCTTTGTACCAGAAATGATCTTCTGTAGAACAGCTGGGCTCAGCCTTAAAGACCAAGTGAGGAGCTTGAGCCGCTGATTGTCCTCTTCAAATGCAATCATATGAAGAGGTTCAGGTGTTTGCTGAGGAAGGCTCCTGGTCGTCTTTCTGAGGAGGAACATATCTGGAATTCCTTTGTCTAAATGATTCATGGTTCTTCACAGATCTATGACTTTCTTCCTAAAGTTCGTTCTGTGATGGAGCCCAACAAGAAGGTGTTTAAGGTCATAGAGGTAATGTTCTCTAAACAAAGAATCAACATAAACACAATAACAGCCCTTCATAAATATATCTGTGTGTTCCAGGCTTTTCTGAGTTTTTCAGTCAGTCAGGTGAACGAGCACAAGAAGAGCAGAATCCCCGGAGAACCACGAGATTTTATCGACTGTTACCTGGAAGAGCTGGATAAGGTAGAAACCCCTGAAAACTCAAACATGATGAAGCCGATGATGTGAGTTGCATCAAAAAAAGTTAGTTTACCAACGCTTTAACAAAATTTGTTCAAAAAGTTCACCTGCCAAAAGTTTAACATAGTGTTGTATTTCATCTTATTATTATTATTTTTCACTAAAATCATCGTCTTTTGTTCAGAAGAGTGATGAGTCATCATTTTCAGAGGAACAACTCATCGGTCAGCTGTTTGATCTTTACGTTGGTGGAACCGACACCACCACCAACACGCTCCTCACAGCGTTCCTCTACCTGACGAATTACCCTCAAATACAAGGTACCGTCCCTTGTGGAGGAATAACTTGTTACTTTTTCTTATCGCTGGACCTTTTATGATTCTGTGCTTTTACAGTCAGACAAATGAAGCCTTAACTTTCCCTCCACACCGAGTCCTGTTTTTTATGTTTTGGTCTCAGAGCGATGCCAGCAGGAAATCGATCAGGTGTTAGAAGGAAAGGATCGGGTCACCTTTGAGGACAGACACAACATGCCTTACATGCAGGTCAAACACTTTTTTTTTTCATTTATCTGCTTTTGGAGGATCACCCGTTTCTGGGCTGAGTTTTTAAATATTTTTCCTGCAGGCTGTGGTCCATGAAGTTCAAAGATTTGGCAACATCCTTCCGTTCGGCATCTTCCACTGCACAACTAAAGACACAGAACTGATGGGATATTCTGTTCCCAAGGTGAGAGGAAACTGATTTTTACTGGAGATAAACTGAAGTATGTGTATATGAGGCAAAGCAACACATCTTCATTTACATACTATATTTCATACGAAGGATATTAAAGGGACTTTAAGGAAGTCTAACAACCAGTATATGTATAGAAATTGCGCCCTTCAATTGCGCAATCTCAACCAGGGTTGCGAGTGCATAGGGTGTTCCGATTCTCAAGTGCGGAAGTTGATCACGCCCCTTTTGCTCCCTTGATCCGCATTTCTTAATGCATTACCCACAATCCTTTGCTGCTGGAAAAAAGGCTCAAGTTCCTTTTCTGAAAACATGTATTTTCTAATGAAATTAGTTCATTTTAGGATGATTTGCAGAAGGATCTGCACTGTGACTTCTGAAACTTAAGCCCCATTCCCACCTGTACCGGGTCGGCCCGGGCCAGGTAGCGTAGGTTGTTTACATATCTGGGTGGCCTGGAATTTTCCCGGGCCAACCAAGGCTCATTCTCGGCCCTCTTCCCGAGGGGTACTGCTTCAGGCCGACCAGGGCCAACACGCCCACTGCTGACAGCAAATTCACACCTTCCATTAGAGCAAGCCTCTGATTGGTGGGTAGAATCAGCCCACATGGGCTTAAGGCAAGGATGTGTGGAATCAACCGGGCCAGGCTGGGGCCGACTGGGGCTACCCGGCCCGGGCCAACCCAGTACAGATGGGAATGGGGCTTTAGAATTGGTTCCTATGCACGTTTCAGTGCTCCTATGCAGCATATACAGATGCAGCACCAATCCGTCCGATGTTGATCTCATGCTCCAGCTTTCCCTCACTCGTGAACAAGACCCCGAGATACTTAAACTCCTCCACTTGGGGCAGGAACTCATCCCTGACCTGGAGAAGGTGTTCTACCCTTTTCTGACTCAAGAACATGGTCTCAGATTTAGAGGAGCTGATTCTCATCCCAGCTGCTTCACACTCGGCTGTGAACCGCTCCAGTGAGAGCTGAAGATCACATTCTGATGAAGCCAACAGGACCACATCATCTGCAAAAAGCAGAGACCTGATCCTCAGACCACCAAAGTGGCTCAGGCATCTGGACAGGATGCTTCCCTGTTGAGGTTTTCCTGGACCCAGGACAAGCTGGAGGGACTATCTCACGGCTGGCCAGGGAATGCCTTGGGATTCCCCCAGAAGAGCTAGCCCAAGTGGCTGTATATGACCTGACCCAGGGGCAGCATGTAGAGATTGAAGAGCAGTAGTCCAAGAATCAAACATTGGCACACATCTAATGTCATGGTGGTCTGCTCAGATTTGTGATCACCAACAGAAACAACATAACTACCTTTGAGATATGATCTGAACCAACAATGGACAGAACCTGATAAACCCTCTCATGTTGTGAGCCTGTCAAGAAAAATACTTGAAAAACTGGCAAGTGATGTTGCTTGTGGTTCTTCCCCAAAAAAACCTTTTCACATGATGAAAACAAAAGAAGCCTCTGACGGTGGCTCACTTTGATTCTTGTACCATACAGCACAACACACACACAAACATCCTTCCACCTCAGCATCCTGCCTTTGGTCTGGCTCAGGCTGAATCTCATCCACATCACAAGATATATTGGCCCTAGCCACAGTGAAGCGACTCACAACTCGTTGCCCCGTGTCCCTCATAGTCATTCCAGTCATGGACAAGGACACGGTCAACTAAGGTGGCTCAAGTTTCATCTGACTGTCACGAACAGAACTAGGAAGACCCGTGAAGATGCCAAACACAATGAGTGTAAAATAAAAAGTCTTTATTAGGATGCTGAGTTACCAGGTGGGCGGGGCTGGAGACAGAGTCGAAGAGGAGGCGAAGGTCAAAACCAGATCGGACATGCAGGGACAGGGAACAGGCAGGAGACGTGGTAGAGGACAGGCGAAGGTCGAGGTGGCAGGCAGAATACAAGGAAGGGGTCAGGCAGGGTGGATGGCTGGAGAATTTACTGGCAAATGTTTTCAATAATCTGGCAGGGAACTGGTGGCTGACTGGTGAATATATAGCAGGGGGAGCAGGTGTGAGTGATGAGCTGAGGAGTCAGGAGCAGGTGAAGAGGATGAAGCTGATTACAGGAACAGGTGGGATGAATGGAGTTGATGTGGTTGCCAGGGGAAACAGGGCTTGACAGGAGCTTGGTGAAAGGACCAGGTGAGCTGAATGAAGGCTGAGGAGGGTGAAAGATGGGAGTCATGACACTGACAGTACTTGTCTCCTTGCCCTTGCTCCTCCCTTTCTGTCATCCTAGACATCCTCCTCTTCCTTCCTGGTGTCATAGACCTCTTTCTCCACCTCCCCTTCCAACTCTTCCACCTCCTCCACCCTGGTGTCCTAGATCTCTTCCTCCATCACCTCCTCCACCCTGGTGTCATAGAACTCCTCCTCTTCCTTCACCTCCTCCTCCTTGGCGTCCTAGATCTTCTTCTCCTCCTCTTCCACCTCCTATATCTCCTCCTCCACCCTGGCATCCTAGACCTCCTCCTCTTCCTTCACCTCCTCCACCCTGGTATCCTAGACCTCCTCCTCCTCTTCTACCCCCTCTACCCTGGCGTCCTAGACCTCCTCCTCCTCCTTTACCTGCTCCACCCTGGTGTCCTAGACCTCCTCCTCCTCTTCCTTCACCTACTCCACCCTGGTGTCCTAGATCTCCTTCTCCTCCTCTTCCACCTCCTGTATCTCCTCCTCCACCACATCCTCTACCCTGGTGTCTTAGACCTCCTCCTCCTCTTCCACCTCCTCCACCCTGGCGTCCTATATCTCCTCCTCCTCTTCCTTCACCTCCTCCACCCTAGCATCCTAGACCTCCTCCTCCTCTACCTCCTCCACCCTGGTGTTTTAGACCTCCTCCTCTTCCCTCACCTCCTCCACCCAGGTATCCTAGATCTCCTCCTGCTCTTCCTTCACCTCCCCCACTCTGGCATCCTAGACATCCTCCTCCTCTTCCTTCACCTCCCCCACCCTGGCATCCTAGACATCCTCCTCCTCTTCCTTCACCTCCTCCACCCTAGCATCCTAGATTTCCTTTTGCTCCTCTTCCACCTCCTGTATCTCCTCCACCTCCTTTTCTACCTCCTCCACCCTGGTGTCTTAGACCTGCCTCTTCTCCTCTTCCTCCACCTCCTCCACCCTGGTGTCCTAGACCTCCTCCTTCTCCTTCACCTCCTCTACCCTGGCATCCTAGACCTGCTCCTCCCCTTCCTTCACCTCCTCCACCCTGGCGTTCTAGATCTCCTTCTCCTCTTCCTTTGCATCACTTTGGATCCATTGTTTGCGTGAGCTGACTTTGGCCCTTGTACCTATGCATCAGAGTTTCTGATTGGTGGGTGTTAAATTGTGACTCGTAGGGATTCCAGTTGGTTAATTGTGTTCTAAGTGAGCTCAAGCTGTGCTGACTTCAGTTAACATGATTGACTGCTTGTGCTTTCTAAATGGCCACATGGTGTCAGCACTGAAATGTTCAGGGATTTGTCAGTTTTGCAATAACAGTGTAGCCTCCAGGAATGGTCAGTTTTTCCAACTACAGTCTGACCTCTTCAGTATCTGGCCATTTGGAGGCACAAGTCTTAACTGGTGCTTTCAATCTGCAAGAATGATACTGTTGCTTGGCCAAGGTCCCTCGCAAGCTCATTCTTATCTAAGACTGGTTTTCATTCACAGAACAAGACGGATGAACAATATGAGTAACTAATCATATAATGAAATGGACAATATGGTTAAATGAAATGTTTTGATTAATCTGTGCTTAAATTACTGAAGTTGAAATGAATATCATTATTACATTGAAAGATTAATAAGGATGAAATGAAATATATGACCCATATATTTAATCAGCACACTGACTGGACAAGACACACTCACCGTATCTCCATGACGTAAATTACCCCCAAATTCCACTACCTCCGCTCCGCTCCGGTCCGCCCCGCCTTCCGCAGCCGCTCGCTTCCGAACTCAATTTTTACTGGTACCCGCTCTACAACGGCTCCGCTCCGGTGCGGAGACCTGAGGTGCGCAAACAGGCATGCGCGGGATTTTCGAGATCTTGCGATACAGTCCGAGCAATAAACGCGGAAGTTAGATCCAAACACCCGTTGTGTGGGAGAAGCATCGGCATGAACTGTTTAATCTGCCCATCATTTGTGTTGAGAGATCAGCAGTGTTTGGATCAACAAAGTGTGACTACTTTGATAGTGGAAACTGTATTTATGGCTTATTTTTGTGCATTTAAAGTTCAGCCGCCATTGATAGTTGTTAAAAGTTGTTAAACCTGTGCATATGAAACAAAAAACGCCTTTTGTTTATCGATTTATTGTGAAAAACGGAAGTTGTGCTTGCTCCTTTTCCTGTTGGGCGGTTGTGATTTCTGTCCATTTACTGCGGAGGTGCTCCGGCGTCCGGCGAAAATAGGATCGATTCTATTTTTGCCGGACGCCGGAACAGAGGGCGGCGCACGGCGCCGCACTGCTGGAGCACGGCCGCAGTAGCGGAATTGCTCTGATTGACTACAACGGAACCGATTTTGCTCCGGCGTTCGTGTCGGAGTGGAGCGGATGTAGTGGAATTTGGGGGTTAGAATTAATGTCACTGCACATAGATATTTTCACATCCACAAAATCAGCATCTTCATATTTGAGGGAGGTGTGTATCTGAGTTTGTTGGCAAAACCCCTTTACAGGGCAAGTTCTGGTTTATCAGTAAACCAAAATATGGCCATTATTTAAACAGCATCACTTCCTGAGTGATTCAGTTGAGCCTAACTCTGACTGGCCATCGGAGGGAAACTCCGCTCCCATCGCATCTTTTGACAAGCTGTCAAAACCTGCTGCACGCTACAGCTGACCGCAAACGGTTCCTTCAGAACAAAGCTGAACGAACTCCGACTCAAGAGTCCTCCATAGACGCAAATAACTATCTGTCGTGACCTGGAGACATCTCCAGACAGGTCTAGTCGGCACTGTGGTTTCTTTTACGGACTTCGGTACCTTTGGGGTCACCGGACTTCCTGACATTCCAAATCAACCACGGGGGTCTTCGAAGGATACGTAGACTAGACAGATTGCATCTGATGTGGTTTTATAAACCATCACAGACCAAATTCATTCCCACTCAGAACTCAGTTTCTCCAGATACGAAGGTTCTGATAACATCACATTCACACATCATCACACCTCACATTCCATCCACTTAGATTAATTCATCACATAACGTGTTCCTAGTTGTCATGTTTTTATTGTTTAGAAAATAAATTTCTTACTTTTTTAATAAACTTGACTGTCTGAATTGATACAAAGTGTGTTACAATCCCTGAATAAACAAAGAATTCTAAATCTTCTGGTTAAACATTCAAAGACCAATCAGATTGGATTTCCATATTTATATAGAAATTCATATCTTATTTGTCAAATGTAGTGTTGAGCTTAAAAAGCACCCAAAATACATATGCATGCTAACCCTACAACAGTTCACCTAACTCTGACTCTGGGAATACGTAATGTGTATTGTTCAGAGAAATTAGTGTGTTTTGGGAAAAATAGCATTATGATTTTGGAATTTGAGTTCAAAAGATTAGGTTTTAGTGTTTAAGCAATCGAGAAAAACTGTAAACATTACCAGAATCAATTTTTTTCCGGAATCCGTATGAATTTTATAAATAATGAAGCAGAACTTAAATGATCGATTGCCACAGTGACCAAGCACTTCTTTTTTATTGTTTGCAGAGATTGTCCTTCATGTTGTCAGAATACTTCATGACTTTTTCTTTTCATGCTTATTTCTTTCAGGGAACGATGATCATCCCGAACATGATGTCTGTGCTGAAGGAGGAGGGTCAGTGGAAATTCCCTCGTGACTTCAACCCTGAGAACTTTTTGAATGAGCAGGGGGAGTTTGTCAAACCAGAGGCCTTCATGCCTTTCTCTGCAGGTAAACCTGTTCAAGGCTTCTGTCAGAGCTGGAACTGGGTTTATTAAAAAAGATAAATCACTTTGAGCTGCTTTGGTGTTCCTCAGGTCCTCGGATGTGCATCGGCGAAAGTCTGGCTCGCATGGAGCTCTTTCTCATCGTGGTGACTCTGCTGAGAAAGTATAAGTTCATCTGGCCGGAGGATGCAGGAGAACCAGACTACACGATGGTCTTTGCAGGAAGTTTGACTCCAAAACCTTATAACATGAAGATTGAGTCAAGGTCCCCACAGTAAAGTGATATGTGAATGTGTGGATGAATGACTGATTTTGTTGTAAAGAGGGGTTGTATACGGGACTATATAAAATACAGGCCATTTACCATTTTACCATGTTCAAACTTTTTGTGGAGGAAACCTCATTTCATCTTTATTTTGTCTTGTTTCTACACATTTATTCCCTTTTATTTGCATTTTCGTCATACAGCAACTTCCACAGTTGCTACAGCGGCAAAGGATGGGTCCAGGTCTATTTGTTTGATGCACTTCTCATGAACTCACAGAGAGGTGGAAAGTGTGTCTCTGTATCTTATAGCCTTTTACTGTTGCAGGTGGCTTTAACTTCATTGGGGTCCAATCCTTAAACATAACGCAAACATGTAAATGAAGTAAAACTAATTGAAATTATGTCGTGATTAACTGGACTGTAGCGGTCAACAAAACCTACGGCTACCCAGCCCTCCTCTATGTTCACCAGGTGAGACTGACAGCTCCTTTTGATTGTGACTGCCTGCACCCATGTGACCCCGTTGAATCGCCTTGACAACAAAAAAGGAAATGAAATGGAAACCCAGTGACCAACACACTCAACAAAAAGCATGGCTCCTCCATATTATAATAAATATTTAATGAAGATGTCACATAGATCTGAGCCACTTCAGCACCTTGGACAGTGTAATAATTTGGCGACTGATTATTTTTGCCTCATAATGGGTTAACATTTCTCTAGTGCCTTAAGACGACTCTCATCATGATTTGGTGCTGCTTCTAGAATGCAGTTTCAAACATGATGTCAAAATCTAAATGTACTTATTTTACTCAGTGATTGATTTGTATTTTAAGTATGTTTGAATTAAGAGATGGAAAATATGATTTGAGGGGGGTCCTATATGTTTGAAATACCTAAAGTGAGAACTAATGCTAAGTATAGATGTGTGTCGGTTTTGGGAGTGAAGTTATGGAATGGACTTAATGATGAAGTGAAGATGTGTTATTCTTTGTCATTTTTCAAGAAAATTTTAAAAATTTGCATCTTCCAAAGTTATAGAAACTTAGTTTGATGTCTAACCTTGTGTTGATTTGATTTCTTGACTTTTCATTGCTTTTTCTTTAAATGTTATGCATCTTATCTATCAGCCCTATTTTTTTCTCTTGGTTAAGGATTTGATTATCTCTGTGGGAGTTAAGGATAGGCTAATGATAAGCCACTAGGCTTCAACCTATTCCTTTTTTCGGTTGCTTGATTACTTTTATGTAAAATTGATCAATTGTTGTTGTTGACCGAATAAAAATATCTGTCGATCTATTTAAATTTAATTATTTGAAAGTGTCAGATCTTTTCAGAGTTAAATAAGTACTGCCACTGCAAACCTTCAAGTTTAGGTTTGAAACAGAAGAGCCACTGTGCACAACCGCACACGCTATTAGGCCGAATAGAACACGGATGGTCACGAACGTCCGCTATTCGCCAGCCAGTTCTAACGACAGAATTGGTTCAAATTAGTGATGTGTTGGTCGCGAACGAACCGGCTCTAAGAGCCAGCTCTTTGAAGTGAACGACGGGAGCCGGCTCGTCATTGGGAGCCGTCCCCTCCCCTCCCCCCTCCCCTTTTGCTTTGGTGCAAGCTACAGGCGATTGGTCAACATGTGTAACTGCATGTCCAGACTGTCCACACACAGAGCAGTAGGGGCGGGGAAGAGGGAGGATCAGACTCAGACACACAGCAGAGCACATGCGGGCGGAGGGAGACGAGAGGGAATGAGGATGAGGAAAAAGGCGAGAGAGAGAGAGAGAGAGAGAGAGAGAGAGAGAGAGAGAGAGAGAGAGAGAGAGCGAGAGAGGAGAGTGTGACGAAGACGGTGAGAAAATGAGCGCCAGCAGTCGGAAAGTGGAGATTTCTGAAAGTGTTCAGTTATTAAATCCATAGAAATTATAAATATTTGATATATAGCCATTTTTTTACATTAGTAAATCATTTTACATATAGTTTTGCATTGTTTTGGTCATAAATTTACTCTATGCAACAGAAAGTCTGAGGAGCCACTTGGGGCCGAAAGAGCCGGCTCTTTTTGGTGAGCTGAGCCAAAAGAACCCGCTCTCTGAAAAGAGTCGGAATTCCCATCACTAGTTCAAATCGCCTATTTCAGCTGATAGGCACGCGAGCTTAGCACGCCGCTGCTAAAGCTTAGCTCTCGATTCAGCAAAAACGGGCCTTACAACCCCAGCTGTAAATCGACTGACACAGCGTTTCTGTGTCTCCTAAATCCGCTACCCACAAAGGGGTAAAAATTTGTTCGTTCGAGTTGATTTAGCGGCGTTTCATCACTTCGGTGTGAGAAACAGATTCAGTAGCACAGTGCTAACTCCTAGATGACGGACTGCGTATACACATTAAATCGCCATCTTCCCTTAAGCCGGGCGTACACTGTGCGACTTTTTCACTTTTTTGAGCCGATTTTCCAGTCGTGCGAGAATCCACGACATCGGGGCGAGTTTTGCGCCGAGCGTCGTGTAGTGTACAGGGGGTTACGAGAGGCGATTAACACCACGTGACCAGCCGCCGATCAGCAGTCGTGAGGTCGCAGGGACTTCTGGTGTGTTTAATATTTCGCTCGTCCCTCGTGAGGGTATCGCACTGTTGAAGCGGCGCTGCGAGCAGCTACGATCCAAAAAAGTATCAGAACCGCTCACGGCGCATGCGCGCGCAATCCTGCATCAACGCCGGTCGCCCGCTATTTCCCTAATAACACACGCTGTTCGTTTTTGTTTCTACACGTTTTTTTTACTCACAAAGATTGTCAAGAAAGCGTGTTTGTCGTGTTCGTGTGAAATTAAACTGATCACAAAACGCAGATTCACTTTCTTTATTTCGTTTTCCTCATCCAACCCCAGTAGCGGTTTTAGGCACGGGCAGACAGGGCAATTGCCCGGGGCGGCATTTTTTTTATGACACAAAAGGGGCGCACAAGCGCTGAGTAAAAAAAAAAAAAAAAAAAAGGAAATCTGCGCCGCACCGAGGTTTTCTATTATCTGTCATATGACAGTGTCTGGATTGGAAACAGCAAGTTGGCGCCCCCTGCAGCTGCAGGCGCTCCGTGCACCGTGTGTGTATGAAGAAGAGGAAGGGGAGGGGTGCGGCGGGGGAATTCACTTCTGGGTGGGTCCAAATGAAATGAGCGGGTAGGGGCTGAATCAACTATCAACATGGCTAAAGTCGATCACATCTTGATGTTCTTCCACATTTCATTCATAATATCATAAACACAGGCCTATCATTCTTTCAGGTGTTTCTGAATTGTGTGAAATGGCCGAATAAAAAAAGGAAAAACAAAATGATTTTGTGGTCACCCCCCCATCAAGGTCAAATTGTTTAGTCCTGACTAAAGGAAACTTATTGAGTCAAGAGCCAAACAGAAGAGATGAACATAAAAAGGCTAAAACCACCAGGTGCCTGATTCAGGAATAAAAAAAGAAAAAAAGAGGAGAAAAATAAAGGTATGTTCGCTCTCATGATGAATGTTTTCAATTTTTTGAACCAGTTAACTGGGATTTTAACGGTTAAATCCGGTCAACTAGTTGCTTACAGAGCTAATAGGGCTGAAATATTGAAACGAATATTCAAATGGTTCGAATAAATTCCTTGAATCGTTTTTTATTGATTCAAACTAGGATTTGTTAAATGCTCGCTGCAGCCTGTGGCCTGCCTGAACAACAACAAACACATGTTGATCAAGTTCACATAATAATAAATAAAACAACTCTACAAGCAGAAGAAAACACCACAGTCACCACTAACTATCCTGTTTATTTATTGCAGATGGCTGCACTGATTATTTTTTACATGATTTGCTCTGTAAAAGTTGGCATTTTTGTTAGTCTACAGTTTTTTTATGTCAGTTTAAATTAAAATTTCAGAGGCAATTGTAAAATATTATGGATCATGAGATCTATTGGAGATCTACCCCAACTTTTGGACTGCTCTGCCAGTCCCTGTGGCTCCAGCTGAGAGGAGCTTTTCAAAACTTGATCAAGTCATACCTGAGGTCACCTATGTTTCAGGGGCAGCTCACTAACCTGGCTCTGATTAGTATCAATCACTCAGTAGGGGAGCAGATTTCATATGATGACATTATTGATGACTTTGCATCAAGGTTAGGTTTTAATTTTAGTTTGTGTTTTCTGTTCTAAGTGCAGTGCTGTAGTGATTATATTTAGTTTGTTATGTGTGAAATATTTTTGCTATTTAGAATATTTATTATATATTATGTGCATATATTCTTAATATTTAGTTAGTTTAGTTGTTTTTGTATATTTGATTCTATATATTTTGATACAGTATATAATGTATATTGCTTTACATTCTGACAACTTCATAGTAATTAATGTAAATATGTGCAACTTAGAAAAATGAATGTTCAATAGTCGTTCTAATAAAACATGCCTGTTTATAGAAAACGTGTGTGTTCGTGCAGGTGGGGTGGTGTGGTGGTGGTGGTGGGGGCGGTTGGGGGGGCGCTCAAAGGGGGCCTCGCCCGGGGAGTAATTCCATGTAGAACCGCCACTGTCCAACCCCCATAAATCCCTGTGTGTCCTCCTGCAGCACTCCCGAAGGACATCAGGCAAGACAAAAAAGTCTGACGTGTTGAGTAAAAACGGCTATTTTTAGCACATTTTTAGGGCCGACGTGTTGCTACCAGACGTACAGTGTGAGCAGTCAGGTCGCATGCGAGAACTGGGTCGTGCAGTGTGAGCACATGACTCGTGAGATCTGCTCTGCGAGGAAGTCGTACAGTTTGAGCTGAAGCTGAACGCTGCGAGTGAAAAAGTCGCACAGTGTACGCCCGGCTTTAGCCGATCGATGCTGCCATCTTGTGGCGGTTTTAACGCCCGGCTCAATAAAGTTCATTTTCCTTTCTGTTCTTTGTTGTTCACTAATTAGGCCTATTTCTCATAATAATTATCAATGTTGTTCAAGCAAAAATTTCTCCTGTAAAATAGCTCAGTATTAACAACTGAATCCAGCTTCCATTAATTTTAAAATAAATTAAAGGGCTGTACACAGTGTTTTTTTTATGAGCTCAGAGGAAATCAAGCTATTGACCACTCTCATTCTAGAGATTAGAAGCGATTTCCAAATGCAGACGGCTGAGATGAGGGACATGTCAACTCAACTCTCCAAACTGTGTCAGGAAGTCAACGATATTCAAGATCAAATGAACATGATGCAAAGAAAACGAGTGATAACTACATGCTCCTCCGATTTGCCGCCAGATAAACAAGAATCAAAATATTCTGATGTTTTACTTGGCTCTGGTCTAAAGCAAAAATCCTCATCTCCGACTAACAAGCCTGACATAATTTCACAATATCGTTCTGTTATACCAGATGTAAAGGACTCTGATATTGATCTGCTTCCAGATCAAAACCTGCAAACAGAAGAGTCGGTCCATCAGGAAACAGAATCTGTTCCTGACGTCAACCCCATCGCAAAGCCTTCCATAAAGTTCTTGGGACACCTGCTGCCCCAGGAGACCGGTGGTAAATCTCTGGTGCCAGTTAAGCTGACCCAGAATCTATTCTGCGATACACTTCTTGACACAAGTTCAGACTTTACACTGGTAACACCAGCCATGTTCGATCGCATTTGCATTTCTTGTGGTCAGGGGGCCAGGCCCCCAGAAATCACATCATGTTCTGTAATTAACAGGACTTCCTCTCATGATCTAATGTTGTCTTCTAGATTCGATCTCCAGATAACACTTCGTCCCCTGACTCTGACACACTCGGTTCACATCTCCAACCATGCAAGGATGGATTTCACCCTTGGCATGGATTTTCTGAGTCGCATAAATGCTTTCATTGATGAGGAAAGGGGAGAGCTCTGGTCGGAGGGGGACCTGCCTTCGACCGCGGCTCTGCCTCCGGACCTCCACTGTCTCACGGCTGGTAGCTCTGAACAGGTGGGAACACCAAGTCACCCACCTGGGTCAGAACTTGTGCCACCACAGATTCAGCTTCCATCACAGTCACAAGCTGCTGATTTCTTTAACTTAGCTGAAACTCCTACATCAATTCATGAATAACAATTTAAAAATGACAAATTGGAACAACAATTTTGATATTAAACTTGTTGTCAAGCAACCCCTGTGTTGGATGGAAAACTAATTTGAGAATGGTGAGTTTGGATGCGTGAATGAAGTTCTCAGAGCTTTCTTTCAGAGAGAGAGACAGAGTAGTTCTGGGTGAAGCGTTGGTTTGCAGCTAACCTTAGATTCTTAGATATAAATAAACGCATACAGACGCCT